CAGTACAAGTGATTTGAACCATAGGTTATAAAAATTTTATGCATCATATAGCACATGTGCTTGGGACTAGCAATTGGGTCAAGTTGGTGAGCTACATTTAAGTATGAGTAGTGCTGGTGAATTTATTAGGCTAACCGACTTCAAAGCGAGATGTATATTATTATAATCAAATAAAATTGAAAAGGTTTCGAAAACTTAAATGTTATGTTTCAATTGTTACAGGTGCATCCCAACTCTTATGCCTTAGTGGTTAGCATGGAGAACATTACTCTCAACTGGTACTTCGGCAACGACCGATCTATGCTCGTCTCGAACTGCTTGTTTCGTATGGGAGGTGCCGCGATCCTTCTCTCGAACAAATCGTCCGATCGTCGTCGCTCGAAATATAAACTCATCCACACCGTACGCACCCACAAAGGAGCCGATGACAAATGCTACAACTGTGTCTTCCAACGCGAGGACGATACTAAAAGGATCGGTGTTTCCCTCTCGAAAGACCTCATGGCCGTAGCCGGAGAAGCCCTAAAAACCAACATCACCACCCTAGGACCACTAGTTCTTCCCATGTCCGAACAACTCCTGTTTTTCATCACTCTGGTCGCGAGGAAAGTCTTCAAGATGAAGATCAGGCCATACATTCCGGACTTCAAATTAGCTTTCGAACACTTCTGCATCCACGCAGGAGGTAGAGCCGTGCTCGATGAGCTCGAGAAGAACCTTGAGCTCACCGATTGGCACATGGAGCCATCTAGGATGACACTTTACAGGTTCGGAAACACGTCGAGTAGTTCCTTGTGGTACGAATTGGCTTACTCCGAAGCGAAAGGGAGGGTCCGAAAAGGTGATCGGACATGGCAGATTGCATTCGGTTCAGGATTTAAATGCAACAGTGCTGTTTGGAAAGCTTTGAGGACCATCAATCCAGCAAAGGAGAAGAGTCCATGGATTGATCAGATTCATGAATTTCCTGTTTACGTGCCTAAGGTCGCAAGTGTTTCTTCTCCACAAAAAACCAATTAATTTTCAGAGAGATTCAGGGAGAAAGCAATTGACTAGTAATTATTGGAATATAAAAATAATAAAATATTTGAAGATTTATTTAAGAATGGTTGCCCAATATCCATCTTTTGAAATATTACATTTAAGCAATAATAACAACACGTGTTTGTGTTGTCTTTAATAATTTACTTTGTATGTTTTAAAAATTACATTTAAATATTTTTAAAAATTAATATATAAATGTGAGATTTAAAATCGTATGAAAAATATTGTTGATTTTGAGTTGTTAATAATAAATAGGTCTTGAATAGAGATGTTTATTGAACGAGTTGATAATGAGTCGAGCAGTACTCGACTTGACACAAAATTTGTTTGACTCGTGATCGACTCAACTTGATACTCGATAAGCTTGATAATATTTATCTTGATTCGTACTCATTAAAAAAACTTGTTCAACTTGACTCGTTGCACATTAAGATTCGTTAAGGTCTCGAATCGAGCGTGATTTCAAATTAAGTTTACACGAATTGAACATTAACCAAGGTTTAACTGAGTCTAATTTGAACTACTCGTGAGCTGCTCAACTCAATTAGTATCTTTATTTTTTAATTTGATCATATTTATATAAACACGACAATTTATTTTTTTAAAAATATTTAACCAAGATAAGCATCATTTTGATCAGTCATGGCAATATCAGATCCAACCCATAGAAAAAAGATAAATGAAAACAACAACCGAAAACATGTCAAAAGATAGAGGAAACGTGCTATAAAGGTAGAGATAAACTGCCATAAAGACATAGTTATTAAAAACTAAAAAAATAAAATAAAAAATAAAGATACGATATAAAAAATAGAAGAAAAAAATAGTATCGATGATCTACAACCAACATTAAAGTTGGTATCGTTGCTGATCAAAAAGTATAAGAAGAAAGGGACGAGCGACACACCAAACTATGTGCATATATTAATCACATCCATTGTTAATAAAATCGTTAGACCAATTCATATGTTTTAAAAAAATAAAATTTTGGTTAAACTACGGTTGTAACTAATTACATATTTGGATGAGTTTGGGAATGAAATTGGAAAATTCAAAACTTTGAGAAATAATTTAGAATGAGGGTCGTAGTTTAGGGGATGAAATTGAAATGTTGAAAAGTTTAAGGATTAATTTAGAAAAAGAGTTATAATATGGGGAGGAAATTGTAATATTCAAAAGTTTAAGGATCAATTTAAAATAAGGGTCATAGTTTGAGGAAATATGGTGCAATTAACTCATAAAAATAAAAAACTAATGTATAAGGTCAAATTATGGTCTTCATTACTCTACTATACTTAAATTTAAGATTTAATCCTATATTTTAATTTGCCGTGACTGGATCACTCTATTTTTATAATAATTTTTCATTCAAATAGTTAACAGATTAATTTTGTAATTAATGATTTTCCTATAAATACACCACTTTTTAATTCAATAATGACATAATTTTTTTTCTTGCTGAAAGGGTATTTTGTAAAAGAAATTCCATGTTTGTATTTTGGCATTACAAAACAAATAGTTAAATAGAGGATGAAATTATGTCAAATTGAAATATAGTAACTAAATATCAAATTTCAATATAATAGAGGGACCAAAACCACATTTGGACTAATAAACTATGAATAATTTTGCATTATGATGTTCTATTTCCTCCGTTTTAGATAGCTGACACGGCTGCTACTAAGTTTATACAAAGTGCTGTAATGGATGTTGGTGTAAACACATCTTCCCCACCTCGAGACTGCGGCGATGGAAGCGAAATTATCATCTAAGATGACGATATCCGGACTCTCTTTCGGGACTCCGGTGCCTTGAATTCCCATGGATAGACCTATATCTGTTTCCTCGAGTGCTGGTGCATCATTTGTGCCATCCCCGGTGAGTGCAACCACATGCACTTTCAGTTTGAAGCACGGCGCCATGACAAGTTTATCGAATGGAGACGATCTTGCCATGACTCAAATTTTCTCGACTCTCTGATCTCCGGCACACAATGTCTCCAACAACGATATCGATATCGAAACCTGTCGGCGCCGGACTCCTCTCACAACATCAACGAATCAAAGGAACTATTTGGTGTAACATTAGCTGAGGTGGAGAAACTAGTGGTCAGGATTTTATAGTAATCGAATTCAACCTCTGGTCTGATGTATCTGGATGAGATGTTCTTGAGGTTCTTGGATGCAAGAACACACTATGCAGCGTTTCATCGAAGCTGTCTTGCCGAATTAGAATATACTGAATGTTTAAATGTATTTGATCCACGTCTTTGTATATGTATTGTATTAATAACAATATCAATTAAACTAAATTCGATCGGTACGAGGAAAGAAAAAGCTGATAACAGTAAAAATGAACAAACATATTCTCATCCCTTTATACCCATAAGTCCTAACAGGATCAAGCTGTTTCCATTAAGCATTTTCTTCTCATTCGGATCATCGTACTCTTCTTCCGGCACTTGTTTATGTGCAAAACCAGTGCAACCAAGGCTTGTTGCAGCCATGGCTTGAATCATTTGCTCCAGTCTCATCCTTTCATCATCATCGAGTTTTTTGACAGCTCCAGAATCATCATAGTAGCTCGAAAACATTGCCAGGATCGTCTCAGCATCTCCTTTCCAATGAACATGGACAGTATCATCAATGTTCCTCCCGATCAAAACCCCGCTACAATTTTCCTGGGAATCGAAGTGTTCAACTCCAAGTATTTTCACGCAGCTCTTCTTCGTTTTCTCCGTATCCATCTTCAATTCCGCCACGGACCATGAAAGGATCGTCTTCTCTGAAGCTCCGTAAACACTGTCAGTCGTGTTGAAAGCAACACCTTGATGGATCAATTCAACAAGAGACGGTGGAACTGAAGAAGAAGAACCCTCCTGAATAGATTTTTGACAGAAGAAGAACTTTGTCACTTTCATTCGGTTGAGTGTGAGAGTCTCTGTTTTCTCAGTGCAGTGTGTGGTGGCCATTGATGAAGAAAAGGAAAATAACCCAGAAATGATTGAGGAAGAAGATGATGGAAGGCGATGAAACAAAGGAAGTATTTGGTGACGATTTATAGAGTGTGATCAACCGCGTGTGTGGTTTTTGTTCTTATTTTCCTCCATTATTATAAGATTTTTGGAAGTCTGAAAGAGATATTAGGGAAAGGTACATGGTGTTTCCTAGAAATTGCCATTGCCGAATTGTTTTTCTTTATCCCCGTAGGCGTTAAGCCCCCAACTAAAACACCTGTTTTGGCTCGAGAAGCTTTTCTTTTCTCTTCTTTCTTAAAGAATAATGGGTAAAGTACATCAATAATTACTAAATTATATTGAAATGATCTTTTTAAATCGATAAAGTTTCGAAGTATAAAATTATCATTAAGCTTATCGAATTATTATAAAATAATCATAACACGTTATAAAAACAATTATAGTAAATTTAAGAATCATTATATAACATTTCAATAAGTTTAATAACTATTTTGTAATCATTTGAGAAATTCACGTTAAAAAATAATGATAAATTTAAATATAGTTTTATAATAGTTTAATAACCAATTTTGTACTTTATCCAACAATTTTTTGTGTTAAAAATAACATTTAAGGAATAATTAAGGAAACATTCAGCTAATATCCGGGGAATAACTGAAGGTAATATTAAAATAATGATAAGTATGAAGCATTAACGAAGTGTTCAGTTGCTAATCAACAAGCGCTGATCTTGTTAAAACAGTGCGGGGACCTAATTTAACTTTTTTAAACAAAAGCTTTGGAGGTGTAATAAAACTATTTAAAAATTTTGGGAGATTTAATGAATTTTTTTTGGAGGATTAATTATTTTTTTAAATTTAAAAATCGGGAGACTTAATGAAATTCCACGATTTTTGTGGGGCCTAATTACAATTATTTAAAATGTTTAGGTCTAAATAATATTATATATATATAATTGTATTCCTAACAGCAATCAAACAAAGCCGAAGAGATAGAGAAAGATACAGCTAGTTCAACACATAGGTGAGTCTACCAGCAGGGTTCAAAAACCAACATAATTTGCATCATACTGAGTTTTATTCAAGGAACATTCATGACTTGGATGGACTGCAACATGTCCGAGACTGCGATTACGAGGTCGCCAGATTTGATCATTCCTCTAGCCTTGAGTAACGAGAAGGTTTTGTTGAGGTTGCTTTCCATGTCGTCAGAGAAGCCGAGGCGGAAGGGAATGAGGCCCCATTGTAGGTTCAGACGTCGACGGACGGAAGTTGTGGTTGTAAAAGCAAAGATGGGGCAATCTGGTCGACAACGTGAAAGGAGAGACGCCATGTGGCCCGTCTTTGTGTAGACAAAAAGGGCATCCACCTCTAAATTGTTAGCTGCAGATCATATAACCAAACTCATGTCAAGACCATAATTAATGAAAAAACTTAGAATGAAATACTGGATTTTCTCGAGTTCTATAGCCGTCGATTGGCTGATGGTTCTTTCGACTTCAGACCATAGTGAATGAGACATTGATGCAGGATTCGTGTATGCATGCGGATATAAATTCACAGATCAATGCTAGTGCAAACACATAATTAGAAATAGATTATAGAACCAAAGATTCTTACCCATCTTGGCTGCAGAAATACAAATCTCTTCTGAGATACTATCTGCAAACGATGTTCCTACATCTGGCAGTACCATAGCCTCGTGGCGTTTTTCCTCCCTCCACCATTTCTCTATCCTCACACTAACACTTCTCAAAACAGCTAATGCCTTGTCAGGGTACTGTCCCATTGCTGATTCACCAGAGAGCATTAAAGCATCAGCTCGCTGCCTTACTGCTTCAGAAACATCGGCAACTTCCGCTCGGGTGGGTGTCGGGTATTCAATCATTGAATCAAGTAGCTGGGAAGCAACAATCACTGGCTTATTTAGTTGCCTGCACACCTGGACAATCCTTCGCTGAGCTGATGGAACCTGTTCCAATGGTATCTGAGCACCCAAGTCTCCTCTTGCAACCATAGCTCCATCTGATGCTAGAATAATTTCTTCCAAGTTCTTCAATGAGTCGATACTCTCTATCTTTGCAATAACAGCTATGTCACTGCATCATAAGATTGAGATGTCAATTTCAGGAAAAGAAAAAGGATAGAAATATTACTCATTTTAGGAACACTATCACTTATGTTACTAAATAGTATTCAGTATCAGCCTCAAATTCTAATTTCTATATGTTGAAAGTTAATGTGCAGATCTACGTGGGAAGTAGAACCTTTAACATCCTTCTAAAATATCAGAACTGACCACAACCATTCCAATCTTCTAAAAGTGCATGGCAACATCTGGTACTTACCTACCGCGAGACCTGGCAGCAATATAGCTTTTAAGATGATTAATCACTTCAGCGGATTTGACAAAAGATACTGCAATAAAATCAACACCTTTGGCAATCCCAAAGTCGATATCTAACCAATCCTGAAATGAACACAAAGTTTGATCATACAACTAGGAAAAATGTTTTGGTTTCTAGATAACAACATGCAGGCAACACAACGAACGAGAATGTATCACCTGAATGCTACACATGCCTGGAGGAATACAATAAAGACACACTTAACTACTAAAAGTTTCAAAATCATGATAACCTACAGAGTAAATAGCAAAAATCAGATCCAAAACACCATTGCTGGGATCGAATCACAAACCGACTTCCATCTATTAATTATGAATTGTACATATCTTTGGACTTCTTTTAGCAAAATCACATAACCAATTCCTTATTGAATGTCAGAGGCAAATTCAATGCAAGTTGACTTTAGTTAAAAATGCTTAACATAAATAATCTAATACCAGCAAGTAAGAAACCAAAAATTCAGACAAATACATGGTTAATTCAACGAGACTGTAAAGTCTTTAATATTGGTAACTCCTAATGTCCGGTTCTATTGTTACTATATGTGACTAAAGAGGACTGCAAATACTCTTGGATAAAACAAGCATTCACATTAGCTATAATCATTCCATACCAATTTCTAAAATTCAAAGAGCCATTCACAAAAAAAAGAGAAACATTGTAACACAACCTTGGAAGAAATGGTAGGAAGCATAGCGTTACGCTCACGAACAAGGCTCCCATCCCTCCAGAAAGTCAAATTGGCTCGCGGAAGCAGCAATCCCGGATCAGTGCACCTACACTTCACATCGGGACCAATCTTCTCAATCACCTCAAACCTCACCATTCCACCATCAACCAAAAGCTCATCCCCAACTTTCACATCTGTATAACATCATCAAACAGTCTTATTTAAATCGCCAATAAATCAACTTGCTCAACATAATTTGCTTTTTTTTTTAACTAGAAATTAAGCACAAACCTTCAGCAAAACCATCATAGTTCACATTAATTGTTCGCTCAGGCAGTGGGGTACCGAAAGCTCTGACACTAAATGTCCAGATTTCTCCATCCTACATTTCAAATTGAATAGTTCAGAATTAACGAAATAAACAAATTTTGAACATATATGTCATTTTTTTTAACTTTACCTCAGCTTTGGCGGAGGCAGCGCCACCGAGATCTCCCATGTGAATCTCGCTACCTTCAGTATCCATCATAATGGCGACAGCGAATCCTTTCTCTTCATTGAGTCTCCTCACCCGCTCGATCACCATTTTATGCCACTCGCGTGTGCCGTGGCACATGTTGATACGAGCCACGTTCATGCCTCCGACAGCCAACGCTTCCAGCTGGTCGAACCCGCAAGTTGCCGGACCTATCGTGCATATAAGCTTCGTCCGCCTCGTGCTCCGGAATCCATTCTCCTTCAGCTCCGCCTCCGTCACGGAGTCCACATCGATCCCAGCCGCCGCTCCAGAATCCGACGGCACATGAGACGGAACAGCCACCACGTCGTCTGCCGACAAAAACCCCGCAGCTCCGGTCTGGCCGTTACCGGATTCCAACACTTGAGAAGACGCCGCATCGAGATCCGAAGATAACGATTTGATGATCTTGAGAGAATGTTTTTTGGTCGGGAAGTTGATTACCGGGAACCAGGTGTAGGACGTCGCGGGAAGTTTCTTGAGACTGAGATAAGGAGCACGGGTAGAAGTGAAGAATTGGAGGGAGTGAGACATTGTTACCGGGACCGGAAACGGTTGCCAGTGACCGGAAATATACGGGAGCAAGTGACTTTAGTAGAGGAGTTTCCGTTTCTATTTCGAGGTTTTAAGTGGAGTTTTGAGGAGGGAGGCGGATAAACCGAAGAGAAGTGCCGTGTTTGGGCCTTGGGAAATATCGTCACGTGAAGAAGCAACACACAAACGACAAACTTTGCTGTTTGCCAAACAGCGCAAACGACTGATGGTTGGTTAAACGGTAAAAAAATCGAAGTAGCGGGGAAGTGGAATTTAGGTGAAATCTTGTTTTGCTTACGCGCTTTATTCTAATTGGTTTAAGTTTAAGATTGGTTAGAGATTAGCGAGATCCATTGGGTTCTAGTTTTGGGCTTACGATTAGATTGAACCACAAGAATGTAGCTAAATTAACTTGGACTACTAGGGGTGAAAACGCGGTTTTAATTTGGGCCTTGATGACGTGGAATTTTATCAAAATTAAAGGATAAAAATTAAGATAATAATAGAGTCGATAAGATAAGTATTACTTATTTAATTACGTTTAAATTTATGCATTGAAACATAGGATATTTAGTGGTTAAGAAAATAATTCAAAATTTGTGTGCATAGAGCGTAGTGTTAGCATTAAAATTGGATTAAGGAAAAAAATTAAATGGCAAAGTGGGCACTTAATCATCACTAAGTCATACACGTCACCTGGACCGTGTCCACCAGTTCAAAGCATCAATGGCCCCTCCATCTCTGTTTATATTTATTTCTTCTTTTTCCTCCCTAGTATTTTCCCACTTTCTTCCTAAATCTCTCAAAATCAGATCGGAATTTCTCACAAAACTTCCACTTTATCCTACTCCACGATAGCCGTCTTTCATCGTCTTCACCACCAAGTCTCTTAATTCAGGTAAAATAATAATTTTTGGATTTTTTTATATTGTTTATTTAGTTAGATCCGATTCTTTGATCGGTTTATTTAAAAAGATCGAAGGGGTCGACTGTTTTTTTCCCTTAAGGGAGAAGCGAAAGATGGGGGCTTTCATATCGAAGTTTTGGTTTATGTTATTTCCCGCAAAGGAATATAAGATTGTGGTGGTCGGCTTGGATAATGCCGGCAAAACGACGACGCTTTACAAGCTTCACCTCGGCGAGGTTGTTACCACCCATCCTACTGTTGGTAGCAACGTTGAAGAGCTTGTTTATAAAAACATCCGCTTCGAGGTAACCTTTCATTTTATTTGAGATTTTATTTACGATTTCTCGATGATTTAATTTCTGGGTTATTATTGCTTTAATCTTATGTAAACCTCACTAAGGACCACCTCCTATCCAATTCCCTCAAATTATCAAGACCCACAGAAGACCACCCAAAATCTTGTCATCCTATCCTGTCCCGTTCTTCTCGATTCTGCCCACCCGTCTCCTTCTGCCCTAGTCCTTGACCCGAGTTTGAGTTTTGGCCTTGAAATGTTTGACGAGAAAACCAAACTCCATAAATAGGAAGTTAAAATAAGGTAAATCTTGACAGCCTACATTTGAGTTGTAGATATCAGCTTGAGCAATGAATTTTGGCCTGGTTTGTGTTATCCAGTCTACTGCTCTGCATCTGTCCAATGTCTTTTGATATCCTGTCGTTAGTCCTACTACTTGTTACTGTCTTATTTCATATTCCGTCCATCACTTTGTTGAGAACAAGAATGTTTTTAAAGGGTATCGGTTTAATGGAAACAGTGAACTGTTATCGCAGTTAGTCTCCATTACACTGCTATTTTCAGCTGCAATCAACCACTATTCATGAGGTTTTTTTTAATAAAACCCTGCTATTTAGGCTATTATGGGTGGGGTACAGTGCCTCAACAATGAAATAGAAGCTGCAATACTGTTATGCCACAACTATTTGAAATCCCGAATTGTACAACTATGAAGCATCACACATTTGTTTTGCAATTTCCTGTTATTCATGACCATATGTTTATCCATAAACCAAGGGATTTTCAAGAGCTTTGGAGCTGCCTAATTATGAACCTATTAAGGACATTTTACTAGTTCCACTAACAAAGCTCTATAAAAAAAATTTTGAAAGGAAAGTGCACTATGTGGTTTGATAAAAATATATGTTTGCCCTATATATTGTATTATCCAGTTTTATGTCATTGGTTCTTTTAAGAGACTTCTTGACAGTAGCAGATTATATTGAAATGACACGAAATTGTTCCATGTACGTCTCTTGAAATAGACGGAGGCTTGTTAAATACGATGAAATGGACACACTATCTTTGTTCACTGTGCTGATTGGATGGATCTTTATGCGCTCCATTCCTTGTTTTCCATCGTTTCTAATGCAGTTTATCTGTTCGAGCTGAGTTACTCTTTCTTTCTCAGTTAGTTCTCAAAATTTTATAATGTTAAGTGACATAACTTCTGATTTCTATTTAGCTGGATAGCATCGGATTGGATTATTTGCATCAGGTCTCAAAATATGATGATTTTGACCCTTATTTACGGAATTATGCTAAGTCGAGGAGAGTCGAAAGACTGATGACTATAATGATTGTAACACAGTTAGATTTTATGTATCTGCTGGGACATCTAATGTTTGTATTTTGCCTCAGGTATGGGACCTTGGAGGGCAAGATCGACTAAGGACATCATGGGCTACATACTATCGCGGAACTCATGCTGTTATCGTGGTGATTGACAGTGTGGACAGGGCCAGGATCACCATTATGAAGGAGGAGCTCTTCAGGTTGCTCTCACACGACGACCTACAAAATTCCGTTATACTTGTCTTTGCAAATAAACAAGACCTAAAGGATGCAATGACCCCGGCTGAAATCACTGATGCCCTTTCGCTTCACAGCATAAAAACACACGACTGGCACATCCAAGCCTGCTCTGCACTCACCGGAGACGGGCTGTACGATGGTCTCGGGTGGATCGCGCAGCATGTTACCGGAAAAGCACCAAGCTAAAAAAGGAAGCTGATCAAGAAGGAAAAGTTCCATTCATTCTTCATATATTATGGATTCCGATCACTGAAACAGAGTAAACTTTTTGTGTACCATCTGTCTACTGTATAAACTTTTCTAGATTGTTTTTAAAATTTCAACTTGCCTCAGGAAATTGATATTTTCTGCACAATGAAAGCCTAAGTGATGAGTTTTGGACGTAAACTTGGTTGAGAAGTTGAATCACTATAAATGCTTGTGCAAATTGTTTCATCTTTATACTCCTTACTCCCTAAACTCAAAAAGCTAATTTTCTACCCTTTTGATAAATGATTCGGTTGATCAATTTTAGCTTCATCATCAATCTTAAAAAAAAATTTGAGAATTAGATCATTAAACTATTTTTTTTTGTACACATAAAGTTTAGGTCAGGGGTGGTTCTTCCAGTTCAGGACCAGGCATACCACGTGACATTATAATGGTCAATGTTTAGTTTCATTGGTGAGCCAAAATATATTTTTCTCAGTTTAAAAGTCACATTTTAGTGCAAAATAAATTTAGAGGCTTGAATACCACTAAACCAAAAATAATTATAATTCTCCTACCAAATATCTATGTTATTGGATGAGAAACTGAATTACTCCAAATATATTGCATTAACATGGTTTGATCATTAAACTTTTAATTTGGTTTCAATAAAGCCACCGAATTTAACCGTTAACCATCATGAACTATCATGTAACATTATAACGATCAATGTTGGTTCTATTGGTCAAAGGGTCAAAATATTTTTTTTTCTTAGTTTAAAGACCATATCAAAATAAATTCAGCGCTCACATTAGTTTTTTACAAAAATTTGAGAGTCTCAAATATCATTAAGTTAAAAATAATTGTAATTCTCCTGTCAAATCCCCATCGTCAACTCCAAATATATTTTTGTTGCATACCTCGTATTTTATTAGATCATGAACATTAAGAGTACCCCCTCCGCAGCCCCCCTCTTAGAGTTCTCGTTCCTCTCCTATCTAGATAGCATTAATATTAGATTTAGAAATTGTTAAAAAAAAATTGTTGTCATTCCTCCAATTAAATTGTGTTAATCGATAAATTATTCTCGTAACATGTTTTATTATATTTCAATGTATCTATCTTCTAATACTCTAATCAAATGTTATTTTTGTATATGCAAAGATGAATCTACTTAAAAGTTGAGAGGGCTTTGGCCCCTCCAAATTGTTTTAGTATGATGATATTTTAAGTCTTTTTTTAATTTAAATATCAGTTAAAAAAATTTATTCTTCCTAATTTTTAAATTTAAATATTTAATATATTCTTATTCTTTAGATATAAAATAATTTAATTCTCTTAATATTTGATCGTAATTTCATCTCCCATATATACTTATTTTAAAAGATCTTTAATTTTCAATCCCTATATATATTGTATATATATGAGTGTTTTTCCCGAAAAATCACCGGTGATCGGTATATTTACCGATCTAACACTGGTCAGATTATATTTACCGATCTAACACCGGTGAGATTATATTTCTCGATCTAACACCCGTAGCAGTAAAGCGCGCTCCCTGTCCCGCGCTATATGCTGATTTGACGTAACGTGGGGTATAACACGACCCATGTACCGTGCTATAGCTGTTTATCTGACACGTGGGGTATAGCGCGGCACAGGGGGCGCGCTATACCTTTAATTACCTCCCAATCATCCCTATAAATACTCTATCCTCTATTACTTTCGTCACACCATATTCTCTCAAATACTCTCTTTATTTAAGGTATATTTTATAATATTTTTAATATTATGTATTTAATTTATTTAAGCATTTTTCTTTATTTAATATTTTACTAATATAATTTTTTTGCAGATATATAATAGAAGGCAGTTTCATCTCCTCGAATTTCACCATCATAATAAACAATAACTGAAAGTCATATCATTCTTTGAGTTTAAAAGTGCGGCAATATTATATTTGCAAAAAAAAATAATTGAAACAAACTTGATTAAATAAATTATATATGAATGAAAATATAACACAATAAATTTTTTACACATCAACGTAAATAATTTAAATAATATAATTTTATATTATTACTTGTACCACAAAACTATTTTGACATATGCTTCTGCTTTTCAATTTTACAAACACAAAAATTAATTGAAAATTATTAATATAATATTTTTTCAAATAATCATAATAAACAATAAGTATAATAAAAAAATTATAACAAAATTTATAACGAAAAATCGCACGAACTTCTAAATCAAATATAAGAAAATTACCAAAATTATTACTCGTTTACGGAATTGTTGTATTAATTTATAAGTTGAGAGGAAAGATGTGAGGAAATGTGAGAAACTTAACCGGGAGTGAAGGGTATTTATAACCATATAAGGCGCGGTGCCTGCACCGCGCTATATGTAATTATTCAGATAAAAGGTATAACGCGGACCAGGGTCCGCTCTAAATATAATTCATAACCAGGTATAGCGCTGAGCAGGGGCAGCGCTATACCCCTACGTGGCGTATAGCGCGGATCAGGGGGCACGCTATACCCACGTGTAAGTCATGTCATCATATAGCGCGGTATAGGGGGCGCTACACCCCACGTGACGCCAAATCAACATATAGCGTGGGGCAAGAAGCACGCTTTACTGCTACGGGTGTTAGATCAGGAAATATAATCTGACCAATGTTAGATCGATAAATATACCGATCACCGATGATTTTTTTGAAAAAACACCATGTATATGATAACTTCAACATATATTAATTGAAAAAAAAAATAATAACAATGATTCTCCAGTCAAATCTCCATCATTACAGGACGAGGAACCAATTGAATTACTCCAAATATATTACACTAACATGCTTTGGTATTTTTGTTGCGTACATGATGTATCTTTTCTGCAGTGACAACTTCAGCTTAAACCTTCTCTGCAGTTGCCGGTGCTGAAGATGGTGATGAAGAAAACAGGTTTTCAATCCTACCCTCAATACCGCTGAACGTACCACATCACAAATTATCATTCTACATGAGTAACATATAATAACAAATGCATATATAATTACCAGAATCAAAATAATGTTAGTTTTCATGGTTTTTTCCTTCGCCTGATCTTTCTCTTGGTCCAATCGATCCATGACGAAGATTTCTCCTTTGTGTCGTCTTATTTTTTCTCCACGTCACATATTTTATTTTTCCTTTTTTTTTTAAATTTTCAAATTACTTATTTATTGTTCTTTATCAATTTATTTATTTTATAATCATTATTTGATACATAGTTAGTCTGGGACCATATTAGGTTATGACAGTTTTTGAATAATCGATTTTTCGTGTAGTTTAGGACGATGCTTAGTTATAATAAGTTATGAGTGGCTCGTAATATACTATATTATGCATGGAGATTAGGTTAGAGGAAAATTGAATGGGAGATCAATAATGCAGATATTTATAATATTTTTACTCGTAAATATAAGATACTTCATGAGAATTTATCATACAATTTGTTAATGAATGTTTTCAATACGATTAGCAGGTTAGAGCAAAACATGTGAGACGAGAACATACAAGGTAGCGAGTGCTCTAGCAGCTGATAAATACGATGAGCTAATTTGTCGCACCCTAATTCAGGGCTTAAAATTAAATTTGGGGACTAAAGTGAAATTTTAAGTAAATTCAAGTCTAAATTCAAAAAGTATCAAAAAATGGAGAACATATGGTGTAATTATACCATTTTCCTAAATGTTGGGTTTAAAAGCCCCAAAACCATAAACTTTCCATTTATAGAAAGTTGAATTTCCTTTTTCTCTCTCTCTTCAACCTTTCCTTTTTAATCAAGAAATCTTAAATCGACGTTTCATCACCGATCGTTATTATGTTTTTCACACCTCTCATACCATCGTGCTCATTGTGTCGTCTCGAGTCCACCGGTATCTGCCTTATCTCCGTTGCTATCGACGTGTGAGGGGTGAGGAAGATCAACTTTTCCGATGTTTCGAAATCGAGCTCTTTGCCGTTCACCATTGTGAATCGAGCTTGTTAAGTGATTCAAAACTTCATTTTAAGTACGTAGAAATTTTTACATAATTGTTTTTAGCCCCGCACGCGACAACACTGCACGTGGGGAAGGTCCACCGCCTGGTGGACTTCTAGAAGCTGATCCGACCCAACACTCATGACCGCTCAGCCCAAACTCGTCCGAACCAAACTGAACCGGTCCAGCCCGAACCAAACCGAACTTATCCAGCCCGAATCGAACCGTACTGGTCCAACCCGAACTGAACTTATCCAATCCGAACCAAACCGGGTCAACCGTTAACAGACATTGACTTTTTTCAAAAACCTTCATCTTGAGTCCGATTTTGTAGTCCGTTTTACCAAATTCTGACCTGAAAACCCCTAATCGAGCCCATTAATCAATGTTTTCCAAAATCGACTTTTAACCTTAATCTCAAACAATTAAATTTTAAACTACACTTTTGAAAATCAATTTTAAAAGTTATTTTCTACCTCACTTTTACAAGTGAAGTTTTCAAAATCAATGTTTAATTGTCCCTTGGTTTCATTTCATTGATAATGAGCTTGTCATTTCTCAACCGTTTGTTCAACGAAAATTTGTATTTAAATACGTTCGAATATGTAATACAATAAATTTTCAAAAAGATTATGAATGTTATGATATGATGACTTTCAACATATCTTAATCGATCATGCAGTTCATATTTGGGTTACGTGCATGTTTTCAATAAAAAAAATTAAATTTCAATATGATAATATTATAACAATGATAAGTGGAATGACAATTATCGATCATGAAAGCCGTCAACTAAAAGAGATCATAATCACTGCATTATTATCGAGAATAACTAAATTTATTCTCTTTTTTCTGCACTTTAATATTTTAATTAATATGCTTTGATATTTTGTTGCATATATGATATATCTTTTCTACATCAACAGCTTCGTCTCAAACCTCCACCACGGTTATCGGTTCCGGTGCTGGTGAGATTTTTGGTGCTTCCGTTGATTCGGACGGTGGTGATGAAGAAAAGATGTTATCGATGTAACTGAACGTAATGAGACCTCACAAGTTATCATACATAAGATGCATGTAAATCGAGAAAACAATAACAAATAGGTATGTAATTATTAGAATAAAACAGATTAGTTTCCATGGTTTTTTTTTCACCTGATCTTGTTCTTAGCCCAGTCGGTCCATGACGAAGATTTCTTCTTTGCATTGTCGTTAGGCGGCGCCGCGGCACCTTTAACATCCGTCGTCGATACGGGTGAAACTGTAACATCATTAACCACAGACCGAACTGAAAGAATCATGATTACTGAGATCAAAACAATGGTTACATTTATTTTTACCATTTTTTTCTCTATTTCTTTGTAAAATGGAAAAAGATAAAAGCAGTGAATTTATTCAATGATTTGAGATTGAAATCGCGAGTAATTTATAGTATTTTTGCGATATATGTGGCGATTCCATCTCCATGGGTGTGTAGGTTAAGATTAAGAGAACCCATAAAAAGGAATGAGCATCTGATATCAAACCTAGAAGAGTTCACCTTTATGGAAGACGAGCAAAACAAATAGGTAGTCCCAACACTGAACCTGGAGAATAATAGAACCAACAACAATAATCTTAACAATTTATCGACTATGTATCCCCTTAATATATATATATATATACACACGAAAATAATTTTAAAAAATATTAACAATTTATTGATTATTCATCCCCTACGTATATGCGAAAACAATTCAAAATAAAGTTACCTCTGGACAATAATTTTATTTTTGATGTATTTTAGGTAAATACAAGATAAGATCAAAGACTCTCAATAGGGATGGCAAAAAAACTCAAATCCGACGGGAAAAATCGAAAATCGAATTAAACGGGATGGGGAAAAACCGTTTATGCTAAACGGGGACGGGGATGGATTTGGTAATCCCGGCCCTGATTACCCGGCCTAATAAATATTAAAAATAATTATTATATATATATAATATTAATAAATTTAATTTAAATTAAAAAATATATATAATATTTATATATTTAATTTAAATATATATATATACCCGACCTGATACCCGGCCCTCTACCCGTTTAAATAACCGTTTATGCTAAACGGGATACCCGTTTCCCCGCGATTTTTCCCGAATACCCGATGGGGATCCCGTTTAAATCCCCGCGGTTTTTTAAGCAGAGACGGGTATGGATTTTTTAAACGGTGACTGGGACGGGGGACCAATACCCGACCCGTTACTATCTCTAACTCTCAACCAATTGACAATGAAGGCTCACAGATGTTCGAATCTATGACCTCCGAGAAGAATAATGAATCTCTTAACCACTTGTGTCAATTAATTCATGCCAGACATTATAACGTTTGAATTGATTATACTTTTCTAAACCTACCTGACCGTGGCCCTGTACAAAAGAATGGCCACGATATCCTCCTTATCTTATTTATTGACACCCTCATCGACTTGTGTTGCTTGGATTTCCTCCGCTTGATGTTGGGACGATTCCCCTCTTTGGTAGTATGGTGATCAGTACTACATAAATTCTCCTATACTATCAAACAATCGTTTTTTAGGTTAGAAGCAGTATTTTTTTAGCAAAATTACTCATTTGTCCATCTATATCACCAAATAACGATAAAATCTAACGGCGAATGTCAAAACAGGAATGTAAGGTTAAATATGATATTGGAATAGATGGGTGGCTAAGTTGGTAGTTTACCCGAAAATTAATAACAAAAATGAGATAAATTATGTGCCACGTGTCAAGAAATAACCGCATAATAACCATTTTGACAGTTTAAAAAATCGATAAATCGGTTAAAACTGAACTTGCTTTATTAAATATCTTATTATGTTTCTAATTACGTCATAACCCACAAAATTATTTGAGAGAGAAAATAAATTTCAAAAGAAAACAAAACAAAATCTCAGAAAATCACGCGCTAACTTCAAAAGTAGTTTTAGTTTCATCGAAAAGAGGACTTGCAACTCCCATCGCTCATTCTCTACGGTTCCAAATTCATTTCCACTCTCACTCTGCAACAGCCCTTCAACAAAATGGCTTCTCTCACACGCGCCTCCACTCCTCTCCCTTCCCACCTCTACCGCAGGCGCGACCTTATTGCTTCGCCAAAATTGTTCTACCAAAGAATTAGGAGAAGCTGGACAAGGCTGACGGTTGTTAGAGCCGTTGATGGCGACGATTCGTACCTCAGTATGTGGAGGAAAGCGAAGGAGAGGGAAAAGAAGGAAGCTGAGCTTCAAAGACTCGCTCAGAATTTGGCCGATGATAGCAGCGGCGATGGTTACGGTGGTGTGAAGAAAGAGGTTTTGGAGAAGAAGAGCGAGGAGTTCCATAAGATTCTGGAAGCTCCTAAGGAGGAAAGGGATCGTATTCAGAGAATGCAAGTGATTGATCGTGCTGCGGCGGCGATTGCGGCGGCTCGCTCCCTTATCCAGAACAAGGATTCCTCGGGAAAGGATGATTCTGGCAACGAAAACCGCAAACCAATTAGCTTTCAAGATGACGGTACGAATTAAAATCTTGTTGCTATCTGATACTTTAAAAATGAATTATGTTCGATTTTTTTTTTCAAAAAAATTAATTGAGATATCATTTTTAAGAAAAAATATGACATTTCTTGGAAGCAAGTTAAAGAATCTGATAAGCTTTTTTTTTAGTATTTTTATTGAGAACTAAAGTGAAATTAATTTAATTTCCTTTTATCAAGAAAAAGCAAAAGCAAGGCAAAGCTTACGCCATGGTAATGCATTTAACAGGAATTATCTCTGCTATTTTTACTTTTGGCACTTAGCAGCTGATAATTTTCAGAGAAATCAAAGTTTGAATGATTAACATAGTTCAGTTTACAATAAAGTAACTGCTACTATTTTTTTTTACTTATGGTAAATTGAATCTTAATTTAACAGGAAAGCAGAGTGGGAGCATTTTTGTTAGTCAACCTGCAAATTCTGAAAATAAAACACCTGGTCCTGATTTTTGGTCCTGGACACCTCCTCAAAGTGCTGATCAGGTTTCGGTTGAAATGGATAGATTGCAGGCTGCTAGACAAACTTCAGAACTTCCAGTTTCTAACATTCCGGTTTTAGAGAAAGATCGGTCTCTTGGTTTTCTCTCTATTCCTTTTGAGAGTAAAGCTTATGAGACAACCCGCAATCTTCCACCATTTCAGTCACTCGTAGAGGTTGATAAAACAAAAGTATCTGAGGTTGCTGTAGAAGAGACTTCTTTAAAAGTGGAACATGACCTTGAGGTTGAATTTTCTGCACACGCTGCAGAAGCAGTTGATGCCATTCATAAGGCCAAAGAATTATCATCCCAAGGAGTCAAACAAGATGGAACTAGATGGTGGATGGAAACTGGAGTTGACCAAAGACCTGATGGTGTGATTTGCAGGTGGACAATGATTCGGGCTGTTAGTGTTAACCAAGCTGTTGAATGGCAAGATAAGTATTGGGAGGCTTCTGATGAATTTGGTTACAAAGAACTCGGTTCTGAGAAATCAGGGCGAGATGTTTATGGGAACGTTTGGAGTGAAAAGTGGAGAGAATCGATGTTGCAGGTCAGTGAAATAAACCATGATACATTTCTCATGACACTTTTTTTTATTGCATTTACCTTCTTGTGTTCATATCATCCATGTCAAATTGTGATATAATTATGAATTTCGGTCATCTTTAATAGTATATGATCCATCTAAGCTCCATGTAAGTATGTTCAAAACCCTGTATATTGAATTGTTGGGATCAGAGACTTGTAGAATCATATATAGAATTACTGAATTTGAGAGGACTCCCTTGTAGGTTTAGCTCACCCGTCTATACACAACTATGTTACCGTGCAGGCATGCATGATAGAAATGTGGGTTTGGATACAGTTCAAGCATAACTTAACACGAAGATGGAAAAAGAGCTTTTGTTACGAGTTTAAAGAGATACTGAATTGTATGTATGCTAGTTATGTTTTTCCTGATCTATCTCCTTTTTACGATAGCAACATTAGAGTGCTATAGAAGCTTCCACCAGCAGTCAAACCAGGCGGCATTGACAAATTTCCTTCTTCAGAAAAAGGGAGAAAAGAATAAAGCTAAAGGGAGATGAAGTTTTAATTCACATTGCACACTTAAGCTTGCTTTGTGAAGAGATTTAGAACAATTGCTTTATTTTAGCATCTTTCACTTCTTTGCTACTTTTTGTGAGAATCTCATATCTAGCTCGAAGTCTATTGATGACCGTTTTTTGTGCTCTTTTTCGTTTTCTCAAAATTACTGCACCATTAATAAATTTTAACTTGCTTTAAAAGCAGTTCAAAAACCTTGGAGCATGCTAGGATATTGTTTTTAGGGGGGGAAATCTGAAAGTGTTGCCTGGTGCAGGAGAATGGGCTTGTACATCTTGAAAAAACTGCTGATAAGTGGGGAAAGAATGCTGAAGGTGCGGAGTGGCATGAAAAATGGTGGGAGCATTATGATGCATCTGGGAAATCTGAGAAATGGGCTGACAAGTGGTGCAGCATTGACCCAAACACACCCCTTGAGGCTGGTCATGCTCATGTTTGGCATGAAAGGTATTAAAATTCATATCTAGTTTGGATATAATTTTGCACCTTTTCTACTTTCTTTATCCCGAATTTGTTTATGGTTGCAATCTTGAACTGGTCATAAATTTCTTACAAAAGCATTTCCTTGTTGATCCCTGTAGAAATTTAACACTATCAACCTCTCAAAATCATCTTGAAACACTTAAATCCTCGTCGCATGTCATCCAAAGTTTGGGATTTTATTGAACTATTTGTATGACATTGTTTGAGTCCACTTTGTTAGTTGACAGAACCTTCTATCTTGATGTTTTTCATTTAATCATTCATGACTCGACTCAAATGAAGTACTGAACTAATGGAAAATTTGCCACTTTATTTAAGATCGATCTCCGGAGGATGGAGATGTGATATTCATCCAGTTTGAGTTTATATGTTTGATCTCAAGTTTTTGCAATTTTGGCAGGTGGGGTGAACAATATGATGGATATGGCGGCAGTGTAAAATACACCGACAAATGGGCAGAGCGTTGTGAAGGCGATGGTTGGGCGAAATGGGGTGACAAGTGGGATGAGCATTTCGACCCCAATGGGCATGGTGTAAAGCAAGGGGAAACATGGTGGCAGGGGAAGCATGGAGATCAATGGAATCGCACATGGGGTGAGCAACACAACGGCTGGGGATGGATTCACAAATATGGGAGGAGCAGCAGTGGGGAGCATTGGGACACACACGTGGAGCAAGAGACTTGGTATGAAAGATTCCCACACTATGGTTTCTATCACTGCTTTGACAACTCTGTGCAGCTGCGGGAGGTTAAGAAGCCGTCCGAGGTGGCGGAACAGGTTGAGAAGCCGTCCGAACAGTAAATGTTCCATTAGCTTAATTATTAATTAATTAGTTTATTAAACATACATTCTGCATACGAAGGTAAAATTTAGTAACAAGTAGTCATAGTTCCTTATGGAGAAACTACTGTTTCGAAGAAAAAAAAATAAACGTTGCTGAGTTTGTATATAGATAGCAACTAAGTTGAACGTGGAGTTGCTTCATAAATAAATTATTTACCTATCATTATAAAATTAAATGTAGTTTTTAAACTTAATTAACATAGTTTTTCATCGACAAAAACTATTGGTAATTATTATAGTGTGATAGTTTACGATAATCTATGTTCTAAACCTCTTATCCTATTGTTTTACGTGAAAATTTATTTTAAAAACAATTACGTTTAAATTAATTAATCATGGATTCTTTCTTTTTCATATATGACTATGAAAATATATTTTAGAAAAAATCAACACCAATAAATTTATAAAAGAACTTATAAAAATAATTTGATTTAATGAAATATATTTATGAAGAATTATATATCTCATTAAATAAATATTAAAATTATCAATAAATACTTCTAAGGTGAAAGTCAATTCATATATATTGAAAACATGGTTTTTGAAGGTTTAATGAATCTGCCGACCAAGCATGACTCTCTGTCTCTACTTTTTAATTATTATTTGTAATTGTAATTTTAGTGTCAACTGTGGACTACTTTGCTAAGCACACACTATTCTATTAACATTTAATAATAGATACTATACCGAGAAATGTTGAATAATGTTGTATTCAGATTTTAAATTTATATATAATTTAGATATTTTATTAATTATTTAATTTTATATTTTAAAAAATATATAATTTATATATACTTTAAATTTCATATAACTCTGCTGCGCCATTATTCAAAAATGTCTACAACTCTGCTGCGCCACCCAATACCAATAATAATAACGCGTTGACAGCCATGCACATTTATACTTTTCTAATCCTTCTTTTATTTATTTATTTATTCACTTAGCTCCCTACTCCAATTAAATTTGGACAACTAAACCCTAGACTCAATATTGATAAACCCTACGTTTACGATCACAAACAATGTTTAACATTAAATTTGTAGAGGCTGATAAGTTTATAATGTATTAATAAGAAAATATTATTTTAATTGAGATTAATATTACTCGAATAATCCTTCCTCTTTCCCATATAAAAATATATAAAATAATAATATTTTGACAATAACCCGTGATAACACTATGATATAATATATGGTATCAGCGAATCTAAAAAATATGTTAAGTTCAAGTATTATTATTAATCAAAGGGGTGAGTTGATTAACATGAGTCATTAGATATGTGATTAACAATAATCAAATGAAAGTAGTAGGAAGGATTGGAAACAATGTACACAACTCCCCATAGATTAGGTCCCAGACATGTCTCCAATCTTTTACTTTGAATGCTTTGTCTCACAGACACCAATCTCTTACAGCTGTCTTACAATTTTAATTTCCCATCACTTACTTCACAAGAAATTGTAATTTACTATTCTTGTTTGACCTTTTCTTTTAATTTTTAATTGAATTGTAATGGGATAAAGGTGTATTCCTCCTCCAAATCTATTCATTTTCTTATCTTATATTAATTTAAAAGGGGTAATCCTATCATGTGTCCTCAAACTATAGTATGAATTTTATATTAGTCTTCAAACATCAATTTCTAATCGATTCCTTAAATTCTTTTTAAATAGTCAGATGATTACAATGTAGTATATGTTCAAAAAAAATTTAGCCTATTAATAATATACATACTCTATGAACACAATTGCTTGAACTTGAGTTCTCGAGGGAGAACAATATTCACTTCCATTGTTAAGACCACTCATTACTCGATGATTTTTTTAAACTATTAATAAATAAAATAGATTTTTTTAAACTTTTAGTATTGTGTAGGTTAGATCATTTTATCAATCTGATCACTTTATCAATCTGATCATTAATTTAAATGTTAAATGACCGCTCAAATTTAATACGAAATATATTTGAAAAAGTTTCATTTTAGATCTGAACTAATATTTAATGTCTAAATTAACAGTTAGATTTATAAAATGACATGATTAGCACAAAACTAAAACATCAAGGATTCAATTATAATATTTTCAAAGTTTAGTGATTGATTTAGAATCTGAAGAATAGTTTGAGGATATTTAATACAATTGACTGTTAGATATTGAAAGTTTAGACAAATTTTCCGTGCATTGAAACTCCTACATAAACCCAGTTAAGCTTCGAGTTGTAACTCAACACACACATACTCTTCTCCCTCTTTTCTCTCTTTCCCAAGTTTCTTGAGGGTATTTTATTTTCCAGGCAACCAAACAAATAGAAACATGAGTGACATACTAACTGAAGAACAGGTTGCTGAGTTCAAAGAAGCCTTCGATTTCTTCGACAAAGATGGGGATGGTTAGTTCTTCTTTCTTCCTCTTTTTAATGCTTAAAAACTAATGTTTCAATGGTGTTGGTTTGCAAATCTTAAGCAGGTTGCATTACAGTGGAAGAGTTGGCAACAGTGATAAGATCCCTGGATCAAAATCCATCAGAAGAAGAGCTTCAAGACATGATAAATGAAGCTGATGCTGATGGAAATGGAACTATCGAGTTCTCTGAGTTCCTGAACTTAATGGCCAAGAAAATGCAGGTACAAAATGAATCGAGTTCACTTCGATCTGTTCATATATATATATATATGAAAAGGGTTGATTTTGTTTGTGTGAAAAAACCAGGAAAGTGATGCAGAGGAGGAACTTAGAGAGGCTTTCAAGGTTTTTGACAAAGATCTAAATGGATATATTTCAGCTTCTGAGGTAAATAATTTTCTGGCTGTAATTCAACTTGAAAACTTTGACTTATGCTTATATGAGTAAGATTTGGTGCTGTCTAGCTGAGGAATGTGATGATGAAGCTTGGTGAGAAATTGAGTGATGAGGAGGTTGAGCAGATGATCAAAGAAGCAGATTTGGACGGTGATGGTCAAGTTAACTATGATGAATTTGTGAAGATGATGACCACCATTGGATGAACATCATCATCAACGCATATATATATTTGTTTTTGTATTTTTTAAAATCATTTTGTTCCAAGGAGTACTGCTTCTTTTCAAGGAAAAATATTTGCTGTCGATGGTCTTTTCTCACAGTATCCATTGGCGTCTAAGAATAAAAAATTACTAACATGTAGGGGTGCAATTACAACCCAACAACATAGCGTTAAATTAACTCTTCACAAATCAATCGAATAAAGTTCGTTTATTAAGTTAAACAAATAAGTACTAACAAAATTTGTATGTTCATTTATTAAAAGAACGAACACGAATAAAAATATGTTCAGTTCGCTTATATTTACGAACAAACTTATTTATTGACTCATTTACCGATAATATTATAAGCTTATTTGTTCGGATCTTCTTTTCCTTTTGATTTTTTTATTTTTACATTTTCAATATGAGTGAAAGTAAAGACTAAATTGAATATATAATGAACTTTGGAGTTCAAATTATTAATCTTAAGGAAATTAAGGACTATTGGTGTGATTTCATCATTTTCGTGAACATATAAATGAATATGTTCACGAACGTTAAATAAAATGTTTGCGGAATGTAAAAAGAACATGTTCATGAACGTAAACAAACTAAAAACAAACATCTTTAAAAATAAACAAATGAACACGAGTACAATATTAAAATTTTAAATGAATATGGATCGAATATAAATATCTTCGAAAATAAATAAACTAAACCTTGTTCGTTGAATCCATATTTATTTACACCCTACTTACATGGGAGAGTTTCTAGGGATAAAATAAAATAATATTTATTGGTCAGATTAGAGGTTACTTAGGGGAAAAACTTGTACTGTAGGGCAATCTTTCAAAGACATGTCCTACATGATATGGTAATGTTAAAATAAATTGATGTCAATCTTATAATTAATTGGTTTCGGGTGTTATTTGTTTAAATAATTAAAAATGGTATTGTTTATAAATAAAAACATGTTTTGTTATAAAAATAACTGAAAAACTACAATTATTCTTAAATAACAATAAAAGTATATAAGTTACCCCAAAAAAACACTTTTTAGAATTTAGATTTTTTTTTTTTGGGGGGGGAGGTAAGAAGCCATAGTATGTCCCACAACCACTGATCTTCATAAGAACACACAAGCCACGCCGATATAGTACAATGTGCCCTCAAGCAAGGGCATCAATGGCACCCTACGTACAGAGAAGGCAAGTTTCCATGTCTATGTACCAATGGCTCCCGTGGTTTTATTTAGAAATCTGTCACATTCAAGACTAAATAGTGTTTTACATGTTTCTCCCATCATACAACAACAGATTCATCTATGCGGGAACAACTTCGTGAACCCTTCCATTTTCCGACGGTGTCAAGCTATCGTAGTATTCGACCAGCACTTTCCAGCCACCAGGGCACATGAATCCGTCCGGAGGGTTCTCTTTGTTCTTTGCGAGCGAACGCATCTGGGGAATTGCAGAAAGCGTTTCTTAACAAAAAGAACAACTAATATTGGAACCGAAATGCTTCTTTTGAATCGAGTTTGTTCATTTTCTAACTATTTCTAGATGTAGTAGGCAAACGAAGATACCTTGGTGCCGGATATGAAGAGGAAGTCTTGAGCTCTTGTGGGATCGAAGAAAGCCATTTTACCTTGGGTCTGATCGTATGCAGCAACCTGAAAATTAAGCAAATCTATATGAATATGCAACTAGTGGTATCAATGTACCAGAAAATAGTTATGGGATTGAATGCTAATTATACCCTGAATGGAAGGATGTTCAGCCGCTCAAGCCCCGGAGCCATGCTCAAGACCTTTTTACCGTGATCAGCATCATAGAGGTCTCTCTTCTCGATGGGATGACCCATGCCAGCTGGATCTCTACCGACAATGTAAAAATTAGCTCCTGCATTGATCCGAGCCTTAGCATGCCACTGCACTTCAGTTGGGCCAGCATAGTGCATAGGAGATGGAAATATTGAAACCACAGTTGTTTCAGGATCAAGAACACCATCCTCAAGCACCTGATAGAACATGTTATCGTTAAACCATAAGGCATTTTCATGGCAATCGACACACCAAATTTAGAAGGTTGTTATGAATACCTTCTCGTGTTGTTTCATTCGCCAACTAAGCGGGACATCATCAGCCTTTGTGTAGCCTCCCAGTGGATGAAGCAAGAGTATGGGGTTCTTGTACCCCATCTGGAGAAGCCGACGACGTGTATCAGTCATTAGCAAAGCATGACCATTATGGACAGGGTTTCTGAGCTGGAATGCAAACACGGCATCAGCTTTACGCCTTTCAAACTCTTGACGTAATTCCACAGGTGAAAGTCGGAAACGATCGAGACCATCATGGTATTTGATCGGCTCTATAACCTCCAAGTCACCACCAATGAGCCAATTTCCAGCATTTGTTATAGTTTCTTCAACATAGGGTAGTCCAGGGGCAGTAGTTCCCCATGTCCTCGCTATCCTTTCTTCCTTGGGGTGCTGGTAAATCTCAATGCTGAATCAATCAAGTAATATAACAAACAATAAGGAATACAGTTACTGAATTTAACAAGACACCTATACTTATAATAAGCAACTGGAAATTCTCGCAACTCATTCGATTCCTAGAAAGTTCATATCATATCAATTGCTCATCTTCTTGGGTTGTACAAAGGACCACGGAGGGGCACACATGGACAGCGGCCGAGGCCGAGGCTAGGGCCAGGGCCAATCCTCCTCTTCTTCCCTGGACCATTCCCCATTCCCAATTTCACTAAACATCAGCAACATGAAGGGGCATTTTCTAATACACAATAATGATTCACATGAAAGCGTATCAAAGTGATTTATCAATCTTGTTTGATTAAAGTGCTAAAGATTTACAGGCTCAATTCCAGAAATCACAACAGTGACAAAACCCCATAGAAAAAATCACATCAACAAAAGAAAAAACACAAATTTATCTAAACATCAAATCAAAATGTGAAACTAATTTGAAAAAAAAAACCTCAGTTTGCTTTACATTATTGCTATATTACTAGTAAAACAACTTACTTGGTGAGGATCGCAACTGGGTTATCATCTGAGTCAACGAGGGTGACTTTATTGGACTCAACGATCCTCTCCTTCTGAGAATCATCGATGGCCAAGACAATCGGCACCGACATGTTGACAAAGGAACCATCGTCGAGTCGGAGCGAGTTAAAATGAAGAGTTTGGAGGAACTCGGATTCTCTCATGAATCCGGTGAGAGGGCTAGCCCAGCCCTCACTCAAAACGTGAACCCATTGCAAGTCGATCCTCGTCAGCTTCACCCAAGGCAATGAAGCCGCTTCCCGCTTCTTCAACTCCCGCTCCGGCTCCGGCACATGGAGGTCCACGAGTTTCCCACCGTCCGGCTCGATTAATCCGGCTCGAACTGAGAACCGCTTCTGGAAAGCGGTTCGCGGCTTGAGAGAGATCGAAACGGGGAGTTTGAAGGAACGAACGAAATGGGTATTCGTGGATTTGTTCAAAGACTTGGGTGGAAACGGGGATTGGATGAAAACGGTGGAAGCCATTGGAAGCGAGAAAGAGAGAACCAAAACAAAAACCGCTTTGGTTCGGGTTTGGTTTTCGATCGATCAATAGGCGACTTGAATAAATATTGGTTTGGTACGGAAGGGTAGTTAGGGGAAATAGAAAGCCAATGTTTTTTACTTGGATAAGAAAAGACAAGGGAAAAGTGGAATCTTTGTTGGATGCCGACATATGGTGGGTTAAGCTGTGGTTGGGACGATGAACCTGGACATATTTTGCTCCATTTCTTCATTATTCTTTCATTTTAGTCCCTATACTTGTTAAATCTTTTAAATTGTAAACTTATTCAAAAGATATTATATTAAATTTGCTAGATTATATTTCATTATCAGTCTTTTTTAATTTATAAAAATCACAAGTTTATCTTTTTTGTTATCTACTTATATTCTTAAGTACAATCATAACCCGAGAACTACAAGTACAAAAACATTTATAATTAACATAACAAGGTATAGTTGGATGAAATCAGATCAATACATATGTATAGTGCAAGGGCTGATGACAAGATTTAACCTTTATTATTATTATTTATGAAGTTTTAAAGTAAAATTTGGTCACTCCATTTGGACTGTTTTTAGTGTTCTTGCTTTTATAAATTCCTTTCATTTTTTTTATTCAAATTACAACTTTTGGTCTTAGGTTTATTAGTAAATTCATTCTTCAATTATTTTAATTTTATTTTTTTTAATTAAATTGGTGTTTAAATAATCAATTTATTCAGAAGTTAATAAGAATATAACATACGACACACTATTATTGAAACAAAATAAGTGTGCAATGATTTTTCTTATTGTGCTTATATTTATTTATTTTAACTAAAATGGTTTTATAAATTTAAATTAAACTTTTGATTTTTTTTAGCTTAACTAACCTTCCATTATATTTTTATAAGTTAATAAAATATAAGGGTAAAATATGTAAATAGTCACTAAACTATATTGAAATGATCTTTTAGTTGTTGAAGTTTTGGAAGTTACAATATAGTCGTTGATCTTATCTAATTGTTACAAAATGATCATTAAATTTTATCAAACTAGTACAAAATGGTCATTAATACTAATTGAACTATTATAAAATGATCCTTAAATTTATCAAATTTCATTACTATTTCGTAACATGTAGTGACCATTTTGTAACAATTTGATAAGTTTAATGATCATTTGTAACTTTCAAAACTTCAATGACCAAAAAGATCATTTTTGCATAGTTTAGTGACCATTTATATATTTTACCCAAAGTATAATTTCACAAGTAGCAACTACAAATAGAAACTGAAACATACAGACGAACAAAGATCTTTTGAATTGGAACATTATCTGTTTACAAACTCACCAATAGTCCCTACAAGAGCAAGTTCCATTTTTGAAGTGATGAAACCGGATTCGATCTCTTACAATAATATCTCTTCCATATATTACTGAAATCAGCTTACTACTCTCGTGGCAATCACTACAAACACGAAGATTTTTTAACGATACGGATAGGGGCAGTTGAATCCGAAGCGATCAAAGCAAATGCAATAGCTAGCCTTTCACTATGGTAAGCAAGTGCATCTTCTTTCTCCTCTTCATCAATGTCAAACAACACTTCTTTCGTTCTAGGGTTATGGCCGTGTTGTTGTAGTTCTCTGCCAATCTCTTCAAGCTTCAAATAAATTCGTTTCGTCCACGGGTGTGTTGTGTCTCCAACGCGGAATTCATGCATGGCACCATCAACTTCAACCAAGCTACTCCCTGGCATTTTATTAATCCCATGATCCTTCATCAATTTCCTCACTCTTGTAACATCTTCCCATCTATCAATGCTCGCATACATATTCGATAAAAGCACATAGTTCCCACTAGTTTCTGGCTCCAACTCGACTAAGTGGTTCAATGCAACTTCCCCAACCTGCAAATTCCCATGAACCCTTGCTGCCCCAAGTAAAGACCTCCACAAAATGGCATTGGGTTTCATTGGCATTCCCTTGAGCTTTTCCTTAGCCTCTTGAACCCTCCCAGCTCTACCTAAAAGATCAATCAAACACCCATAATGTTCAAGCTTCGGCTCCTTATCATAATCTTTGTTTATAGACTCGAATATCTCGCAACCCTCATCTACTAACCCAACATGTGAGCAAGCACACATTGCAACAATAAATGTCACATCATCAGGAACTAACCTTTGAGACTTCATTTGCTCAAAAATCTGAAGTGCCTTGTGACTGTAACCATGAGTAGCAAATCCCCCAATCATTGCATTGTAACATGATATGTCCCTTTCAGGCAATTTATCAAACAGCTGATATGCCAAGTCCAAACACCCACATTTCGAGTACATATTTATCAAGGCAGTACCCACATAGCAATTGAACTTAATATTGAACTTTACTGCATAAACATGTGCCCATATACCTTGGCTAAGAGCACCCAGATTTGCACAAGCACTAACTAAAGCAACCACGGTAACTTCATTTGGCTTAACCAAAGAATTTTGCATCTCATTGAATAAACATAAAGCCTCCATTGATAAACTAGTGTCCTCATAATTAACATCACCAACATAGTAATAACTAGAAAAACTATTACAACGTGCGTAAGCAGACAACATTGAGTTCCAAGTAACTAAATCTGGGTTCCTAATCTGATCAAACAAACATCTAGCCACACCCAATTTGCCATAATTGGCATAGAAGTTAAGCAATGAGGTTTGAACAAAATCATCATACGTCGGTCCAACGAATTTCAAGACATGGGCATGGAGGGCCAGGCCATGGTGCAGCCAAGGGTGGTAACCACAAGCCTTGAAAAGAGACGGGTAAGTGTGTGAATTGGGTTTAATGTTTTTGCTCCAAAGAACACTTTCATAGAGGGAAAAAGCATGGTGGGTTTCACATTCTGGGTCGGCTGATGATACTATTGAGGAGATGAGGGTGTTGTAGAGGAAAATTGTTGGGTTTGGGATTTGGTTGAATACTGTGAGGGCATGGGATAAGGCTATAGTGGCTGATGATTGGAGGAGTTTGCTGAGAGGGACAGTGTGGAGAGTGAGGCCTGTGGTTATCATTTGGGCATGGACTTGCTTGAGGGAGTTTAGGGTCTGGCATTTTGTCAAGTAATTTAAGGTTATGTGGTTGAAGATTGAATTTGAAGAATTCATTAACTATTGAACTTCGTAAAAATGGAAGGTCCCAAGGCTTGGTGACTAATAAATAGGAGAAACAAAGAGGGATGATATGGTTTATATGGGTTCTGGCCTATGTTGGTAGGGATAGTCATGAGTTGGGCTTCATCAAATTTTTGGTCTACTCGAAATCGATCCAAACATTACACTCTTCATACATTATCTTATTCAAATCGAGTTTAAAGAGATTATATCTTATCATGCATGTACTCGATTTGACTTGATCTAAATCTAAATCTAAATCTGACTTGATCTAAACTTAAATTAAGAAGAAGAAAAAAATCAACTCTGTAAAATTATATCGAGTTAAAATCCATTAGGTTCGGGTCAAATGCCTATCATGTTCACACAAGTTCTTTGATCTGTTTTTTCCAAGTTTTTTTTATAGGCTTTGGTTCCGAGCAAGTAAGCCCAATTCCATGATTTGAGCTTTTAAGGTTTTTACATGTCAATAAACTTAAATAGATAATGTCGGTCGGCTAAAGGTTTTTTAAGCACATAACCCATGTTAAAAAATTGTGTAAACTACCTATTTAATCAATAAATTATGGGATTAATTCTTTTTCAGACTCCAAATGAAAAAAAATTATCAATTAAGGTACTAACATTACGCTTTCATTCTATTTTAATTATTTTATCATTAAAAACTTAACGAAAACAATAACATGATATGGTATAATGATAGTTTTAATCCCCACAACTTATAGGTTCCATGAATATGATTTTTCCATCATTATCTTTTCCCCCTTTCATTATCGTCCCCACTTGATGATACTAGATGAATGGGGCACATATTATATGTATTTTCTTGTTGGCACCAATTAATGATAAATAAAAGTAAGAACGACAATGAGGTGATTTATAGTCTTACATTGATATGATTGCATCAACCAACAATTTGGAGTTGATTGGAGAAAGGGATAGAACCCACCAACAAATATTCATTTCTAATGATGATTTCATGATCATTTAACTCACTTTTTTCCCTCCTCATTTGGTGGTTTCACGGCATGGGACCTGAAGTCGATGAGTTCTGATTCGGCTCGATCTGATCGGGTTGTGTTTAAAAAAAATAGGTTTGGGTCGGGTCGAATTTGAGTTTAGGGTGATAAATATTTGATCCGACCCGAAAAAATATAATTTTACCTTATATATTTAAGAATAATTACAATAATATTCCTTTATATATTTTTTTTTCAATTAAAACATTTTTTTATTGAATAAAAACATATTTTTATTATTATTTCGGGTCATGTCAGATCGGATTGACCCAAACCCGACCCATATCTATCTCTAGTCGCACCACATTAATTGACATGGCATCCATTGTGGAAGCTAGTAGTAATCTACTAACCATTTCAATCCATTATGCTCCTTCATTTATACTTGTTTTTACCGTCTATTTTGAAGAAAAATTAGAATTAATATCAAGTAAAAGTTGACCACTACATCATCTTTTGACTCAATGATTGAACTCTTCTATCTTCTTTCGAGTTTGAGTTATTGTAGATGCAAAATATAATATTTCATACCAAGTGGCGGGTGTAGTAATAAGACATGTTATACTCTTAAGAAAAGAATTCAAGTTCGAACACATTATTAGAGCAGTCGTGAGTCTCAAATGAGCTGTAAAAGGAAACGAAATATACCAGAATTCGATCTTAGAGAAAAGATTTTGAAAAAGGTATTAGGTTTAGAACTAGAAGGATAAGGAGAGGTTAGAGGGACAATGAGTTGAATTAAAAAGAAAGTAGAATGACATGGGAATACAATAATTTTAAGCCTTTTAGAGGGATAGTATTAAAAGACAAAATAAAAGTATGGAAAGATTTGTAAAAGAAGGGATAATGCAGTGGCAGTCAAAGTGAAGAAAAGCAAAAGGGTGATGTTTGGCCTTTAACACATAAAAAGCTCTCTCTTTTCAAGTTTTTGTTGTTTATTGGCCCCAACAACAATCACCTTTTGTCATCTCCAATAAATTTATCGATTTGGAAGTGATTTTTTTTATTTGTTTAAATTTAATTTAATTATTTAAATAATAAAATATTAATTTATTTGCAATTATTAATTATGTAATTATACCAATTCACTAGTCGTTGTTTTTCTTTTGTTTTAGGGTCTCTCTCTCCTTATTCGAGCTTAATTTGTAGGTTTATAATTAGAGAAAATAATTTCAATGACAAAAAATGTCTTATAATATATAATTTTAATCAATTTTTTTTGGATTTGCAAAAATAACCAACGAATTCGCAACACGAACTCCAATTTCGTAACACAGTTTCCAAATTCGCAACATGAATTTCCCAAATTCGCAACTCAGTTTTCAAATTCGCAACTCGGTTTTCAAATTCGCAACTCGAATTCGGATTTTGCAACTCAATTACTTATATAGGTAAAAACGGTCGAAAAAAATCCGCAACTCGGATTCGTCAATTTCGCGACTCAATTACCGATACAGGGAAACACGGTATAAAAAATCCGCAACTCGAATTCGTCAATTTCGCAACTCGAACGCCAATTTTGCAACTTGAACGCCAATTTTGCAACTTGATTTCGCAACCCAATTTTGCAACCGTGTTTACCTATATCGGTAATTGAGTTGCGAAATTGACGAATTCGAGTTGTGGATTTTTTCTACCGTGTTTACCTATATCGATTATTAAGTTGCGAAATATGAATTCGAATTACGAATTTGGGAATTCGTGTTACGAATTCCGAATTCGAATTCCAAATTTGAGTAGAGAATTTGGAAAATGTGTTGCGAAATTGGAGTTCGTGTTACGAATTCGTTGGTTATTTTTGCAAATAAAAAAATTAATTAAAATCGTATATTATAAGAAATTTTTGGTCACTGAAATTATTTTCTATTATAATTATCAATTCTGAGCTTGTAATTATAAAGGTATCCTTAAAGAAATAGTTAACTCGGGCAAATCTGTATATGTTCGATTGTTTATATTATTTTTTAATATTTTTAAAAACTACATTATTATTATTATTATTTTATTTACTAATAAATAGTTATGTTTTCCTTCATTCAGATTTTAAATATAAATATTCAATATATTTTTACTGTTTATATTATAATATTAAATATTGTTGTAGGTTTAGTTTTATTTTGATATAAATTTACAAAAAAAAAAAAAAATTAGGCAACTGCCGACCAGCCCATTTCAATGCACAGACGGCTATGGGTTCTGAAAGGACTGCATATATATGATGGGCCCCACCTCATTAGCCATCACTTTTAATGGTCTTTGTGGAGTCTAATGGGACAAAGATTATTTATTTTATTTTTAATTTAAAGTCGATTCTTTAATTTTTAATATTGTTTTTTTTTGTAATAAAATATTATTAAGTATTACATTAATTTTTCATCACGCCTTACAAAAATCATGTCAACGTAAGTGATACCGTAAGTTATTAATAAAACGTTACATATTAAATTAACTGAATTTTAATTTAACTGAAATAATTATTATTGCAACAACATAAAGCTTATAAGTTTGAAGATGATGAATTATAATTTAAAAAAATGTGTGACGCATGTTTTATATTAAATTTAGTACATTGGATCCCAATATTCAAACACCTTTAGATTCTAACGATTTAAAGTCATAATAAGATCAATAGTAAAATAATGAATGGATGACACATAACAAAAAGGAATAAGTGACTCAAGACTCAAGATTTCTTTTCTTAAAAGTCATCATGAAGGAGTTGAACGCATGCATTACCCGAACCTCAACAATAATATTTTAGGTCGGATCATAGATTTTTCATCCTAAATCTGAATGCGACCTAATTTTATCTTATACTTCACACTTGAATTAAACTCGATTTTTTTAAATGATTTTATCGGATTAAAACTCGTCAAATTATAGTTAAATTATCATCCCTAATCATTGGTGCTATGTCCTTATTCATAGTAAATCTTCATTTTTTTTCTCTCTCTCTCAACTTATTTCGCATCGAATTAATAATACCACAAACTTTACGAGTCGAGACAAATAAAATTTATGATAAAATTTTCAACAAATAATAATAATCTTTCGATTATCAAACTCTAAATAAGATAATCAAGTAATGCTTAAAACATCAGTTGTTTTGACCCAAAGTTCATCTTCATCCCAAGAATCAATCAACCAATCTAAAAACATTGCTTGCATGTATATTGTTTGTATAAAACTTTATAGAATGTAGCTGGGATGATACCAAAACTTTTGTAGGTTGATAGCATTGGTTAAATACATTTAAGTATAATTTTGTCCGATTCATAAATATCAATCAAGATTCAAACTGCGATATTAACATTTCATCTTTTAAATAGGGATAGATCGAGAGGGAGTGAGTGAAGTCGGTCCTCATTCTTATATTTCAGATTCCTATTTTAAAATACGATTCAAATTCGATTAAATCCAAGTAGTAAACATGCATTGTTATTGAGATGTGTGCTTTGTAACCCTATTTGCCCTTAGTGTTGTGTGGAATGGAGGTTGGACCCCCACCATAAGCACTCTCCCATGTCTCATTGCATCTGGTTTGGGTCATTAAAAAAAGAAGAGAAAGAAGAAAAGAAAATACTTTGGGGAACTCCCCCACTTCCTCTATTTATACCTCTTTTTTGTCCACAAGCTTGCAAACCCTATATACCCTTCACTTGGCAGACTATGTGTTTGGTGACATAAACAAATTCCAATTTCAAAAAACAACAAAAATTGCCCATCTATCTTCACTGTCCCTTTAAAATATATTTTACATTTTCTTTCATGTCTAAATTGGAATTTTCCACATATATGTCACAACAAAACAAGCCCATACCTCAAACTTAAAAGAATATTTCCTCCTATTTAACTTTAAAAAATATATTTTTAGCACCAATACTAACCACTTGAATATTAAATTAAACATTTAATTTAATATATATATATATATATATATATATATATTCACCATATCTTTCAAAATAATATCGAACTCGTATGCCAAGTGACATACTCTTATATTATACCATGCGATACACTATAAGAGTGCCATAAATAATTATGGGTAAACTACATTTTTAGTATCTAAATTATCATTTTTTGTTCTGTTTTAATACTCAAATTTTATTTTTCTTAAATCATATCTAATGTTCAGTTTATGTTCTATTTTTATACGTCATTATTAAAATTAACGGTGATGTTAACGTGTTACCATAAAATAATATCACATCATCATTGGAGAAAAATAAAAAATGTCACGTCAGCGGTTATGTTAATTTTTTAACGATAAGGTACAAAATTGAAACCTAAGCCAAACATTAGATAAGGTTTTGAAAAAAAATAAAGTTTGAGTTCTAAAACAGAACAAATGTAATTGTTTTGATACTAAATATGGAATTTATCCGATAATTAATTCAAAAAGAGCAAAACAATCTTGAAAATGGGTCAACAAAACAATGATATTTCAATGCAGTTGCAGCTCAGCAATAATGGGGTGGGAAACATACAAAATATAATGAGTGAAATGAGTAGGCTTTGCCTTCGCATCAAAATGAAAAATTGAATAAAAAACCTTAGGTTAAATTATGCTAACAGTCTTTAAACTATGTTGTGAGTTATAGATTAGTCATTATATTCTAACTTGATCAATTTTAAAATTTCAATTATGTATGAAATAATATAAAAATGACTAAATTACAACGACAAACAATATCAAATTGGCATATTGTGAACTAAATTTAGAACTTATACATGATATTCAAATTAATAACATAATTTAACTTAACTATTTTAACAATCAGTGTTCGAGTTAGGATCGAGATTTCAAAATTAAGTATAAAGATTAAAGCTATAATTTATATATAGTACAAGGACTAATAGTGTAATTTTACCAAAAACTTATTATTGACATGTAAGTCATTGAAGCTAGCTGGATGGGACCTAGAAATCTCATTTGAAGTCCATAACGTCATGATACACAATCGCTACACCACTCCACCGCTATGATGGTGCTGGTCTGTCCTCTAAACTCTCAGTTTCAGACTCAGAGTCCAAGGTTCCATCATAAGGTATAATGCTCTGTACATCCCCCTGGTATCCCCCCATCACCACCGTTGATCTCTGGGACCCCAACCAATATCAACATGAACTAAAATCATGACACTAATTATCATGAATAACGACGAGTGAACGATATTAGACTAAATCGAAACTCAAATCATAAACTTTAATAAATGTATAACAATGGAAGGATTATAATAGTAAGTGCATAATTTTTTTTTACTCAATAATGAAAATGGTAAAATTTTGAGGATTAGAAGAGAGAGAGAGATAAGCAGCATGCAAAGCATTACATAGGGGCTAGAGAGAGAGGAGAGAGAGACTGCAAGTTGGAATTCTTCTTCTCTGGATGTTTGCCTTCTCAGTTATTTGGATTATTTACAATTGCTGCTAGTTTCCACAACATGTTTAAAATTTAAAATTTTGTATTTTAAAATAATTTTTTTGTTATTTTTATTTCTTCATCCATCCACCATCACTTCCCCCACTTTCTCAGTGTATATAATATTATATACTCAATATATGTGCTTTTTAAAGACAAGGTTGTTTCTTTACTTTTATTTTCATCGTTTCTTTAAGCCAAAATGAGGCGTTTGTACGTCCCCGAGGCTGCTGCCCCAGCAGCTCAGAACCGAGAACAAAGGCAAACACACACAACAGAGAGATAAAAGCTTAAACTAAGTGCTAATGCTAATCCAAGGCCAAACCCCCCATAGCCACTTTCTTTAAAAGCAAAGGAGAGGAGAGGCCCACAAAGGCTTTTACACGTGATAAAGAAAACACCAAAGCTCTTTGCATGCGTGTATAAAGTTTCATCATCATCACCATCATCTCTCTCTCACTTTCTCTCCTTTGAATCGTCTTCAAAAACCCATCTTTTTGATCTCACACTTTGGTCTTTCTCCTTTTGTTTCTCTGTTCCTTCTCCTCCTTTGGCCTTTGGCTTCAACACATCTTATCTCTTGTTGTTGTTCTTCTTCAAAGCTCACTGCTTTTCTATTACCCCCCCCCCCAGTTGGTGACTGGTGAGTTATTTGTATATGTGCTGTAACATCTTATGGTGGTAATTTAATGGGGCTTCATATTTTTTCCCTTCTAAGCATTAAATACTTTGAGTTTTTATTTTCCATTTTTTTGGGATTTGATTTCATTGCCCTTTTTTCAATGTTTATTCCTTCTCTTTGTATACATGCTCTTGGTTTTTTGTTTTCTTCTAGACTGTTTTTATTCTTTCTATATACCAAGTCTCATGCTTTCAAAAGTCTGTTCTTTACACAAATATAAATAAGATGAACCAACTTTCTTTAATACTGTTGCTATGTTTATCTGCTTGGGCTTATATTCATTTCTGGACTGATTTTTCCTTTTTTTTCCTTTTAAAGTTTCAGTTTTTGGTAGAGACAGACAAACTTAGGGGAATGGTTTATGTCTACTGGGTTTATCAGTTTTTGGGTTTTTTTGAAGTTATTATTACATGATTTGCTTCATGTTTTCCATCTCATTATGTTATGGACATTGGTTTCATATTGGTTTTGGAGATGATGTTCAATTTAGTCTTTTGAGGTCTTTTTGAGCAATATTTTATTTCAAAACTAATTATGTGTTGATATATGGAATTGATTTTCCCTACGTTCTTGTGCATCAGCTTCAGTGGGGTATAAACAAAGCTAACCGGTATGCCTATAAGGCAAATGAAAGAGAGCTCTGAGCAACATCTTGTGATAAAGAATCACTTGCAAAACACCATGAACTCAGTCCAAAGAGCACCAAAAACTGCACAAAATGGCAAAGGTCCACCACCATCTCATGAATCCCACAACACAAAACAACCCCATAACCAAGCCTCACCTCCTTTATCAAAGAATAGAGGAAGAAGACGAGGAAGAGGTGGTAAAAAATCTGATCAACTAGATGTATGTATGAGACCAAGCTCAAGGCCTTGTACTGTAGCACATAAACCAGCGAATCAAGCTTCAAATGGGTCTATTCAGAATGGTCATGACTCAAGTGGAATGGAAATGGGGTTCCCTACTTCAAGCAAGTCTTTGAATTTTGCACCTAGGCCTGGTTATGGTCAAGTTGGGACAAAGTGTATTGTGAAGGCTAACCATTTCTTTGCAGAGTTACCAGACAAGGACTTGAACCAGTATGATGTAAGCTCTCTTGTTTGTTTCTTCTTTTCTTATATTGGATTTCTTACATAAAAAATGCTTCATAGTATTACTGCTTCAAAACAAAGCTCCATGTGCGAGTGTAAACTTTTTTTCTCTCATGGCAATATTTGGGGGTGGGCCCTTAATCTGATGGCATTCATCATGTGTACGCTGCTATGTCTTTTCCATATTTTCTAATACATTGAAGATGAAATTGAAAAAGATGGTTCTTTTTCTCTCACAATGGCCTTTACTTTTAATGGCATTTATGGTGTTTAAATTTTGTTCTTATTGTTGTTTTCCTTTTGGCAATCTGTATTCTGCTTCTTCTTTTTTGCAGGTCACAATAACTCCTGAAGTGGCATCCAGAATGGTTAACCGAGCTATTATCGCGGAACTTGTGAGACTCTACAAAGAATCCGACTTAGGAATGAGACTGCCGGCTTACGACGGTAGAAAGAGTCTGTACACGGCCGGTGAACTTCCTTTTGCATGGAAGGAGTTCACCATCAAGCTTGTCAGTAAGGAGGATGGCATCAATGGCCCCAAGTGAGTATGAATTTTTTTACACACACACATATATATTTGATTTACTTAAGTTGTATAAGATATGTAGTACTTTCGAATTCATCTTGAAAGACATATATATAATTTTACAGAAGAGAAAGAGAATACAAAGTGGTACTAAAGTTTGTTGCCCGAGCAAACATGCATCATTTAGGCCAATTTCTAGCTGGTAAGCGTGCTGATGCTCCACAAGAAGCGTTGCAAATTCTTGACATTGTGTTACGAGAGTTATCTTCAAAGAGGTACGAGTTCGAGTGTTAATGATTATAGAAAAACAATTCTGCTTATCAATATTGTTGTTTTATTCGTCTCACTATGTCTGATGCTGTGAAGGTACTGTCCTATTGGGAGATCCTTCTTTTCGCCCGATATTAGAGCACCACAAAGGCTTGGTGATGGTTTGGAGTCCTGGTGTGGTTTTTACCAGAGTATTAGGCCTACTCAGATGGGCTTGTCTTTGAATATCGGTATATGAATTATGATAAAATCTACAATAGTTCTCAGCCTTCACTTTGATTGAAGGTTCTCATTTCTGTTTTTAACCTTTCGTAATAGATATGGCTTCGGCTGCATTCATTGAGCCGCTCCCTGTAATAGAGTTTGTTGCTCAGCTTCTAGGCAAGGATGTACTATCTAGGCCATTGTCCGATTCTGATCGTGTGAAGGTATCTTCTTCATTTTATGGTTGCTGCAGCATGGTTTCATTCTTGGAATCTGATTTAATCATAATTAACTTCGAAACAACTGGCAGATTAAAAAGGCACTCAGAGGAGTTAAAGTTGAAGTGACACATAGAGGGAATGTACGAAGAAAATACCGTGTTTCAGGATTGACTTCTCAGCCCACTAGAGAACTAGCGTAAGCTTCGGCTCTTAGTTTTCTGATTTCTGCCTTTTCTTATCTAACAATTGTTTCATTGATAAAGAATCATGGATGTTAAGGCGTTTAGGAGAGCAGGAATTAGTGTTTTTATACTGTTGTTATTACTTATGATGCTTTGTTCAGGTTTCCCGTTGATGACACAACCATGAAGTCCGTTGTTGACTACTTCCAAGAGATGTATAGCTTCACAATTCAACATGCACATCTACCTTGCCTTCAAGTGGGAAACCAGAAGAAGGCAAATTATTTACCTATGGAGGTTTGAAGATGTCGCTGAAAGTTTTATCTATTTCTCAGTAATTTACTTTTTTTTTACAAACTCTGATGAGAAATCTCAACCTTTTGACTTGATAGGCATGCAAAATTGTTGAGGGACAGAGATATACGAAACGATTGAATGAGAGGCAAATTACTGCCCTCTTGAAAGTCACATGCCAAAGACCACGAGATAGGGAAAACGATATTTTGCAGGTACATTTTATGTAGTAATCTTGTACGCATATCAATTACCAATCTTCATTTTCTTCTAAGGAGGTTAATGAATGAAAAGTGCTCTAGAGAAACTCGTATTTCCGCTTCAGAAAGTAATTTCCGCTTCAGAAAGTAATGCAAGGATGAAATGAAAGCCATGACCATACATTAATTTGTAGATTTGAAAACACTACTATATGAAATAGAATTATTCATTTCTCTGTGTTGAGATCCTGTTCGAGTTATTATTCGGTTTATCTATAATGACAAGTTGTCTTTGTTGCCTGCTTATTGAACACATGCAGACAGTTCAACATAATGCTTATGATCAAGATCCTTATGCAAAGGAGTTTGGGATCAAAATTAGTGAAAAACTCGCTTCGGTTGAGGCTCGTATCCTTCCCGCCCCTTGGGTAATATATCTAACAATTTCTGCATAATCTGAAAAAAGAAGGAAGAGTGTTAAATAGACCATCTCATTGGCTCCTTGCAGCTGAAATATCATGAAACTGGAAAAGAAAAAGATTGCTTGCCTCAAGTGGGGCAGTGGAATATGATGAACAAGGTAATATTCTTTTCTTAAAAAAGGATCTTCTAATTGCTCTATTAAGATAGATCTTTTCTTATTCTTGCTTGGATTGCTAATATGTTAGCTTCTTGTTTTTATGTGATCTAGAAAATGATCAATGGAATGACTGTAAGCCGATGGGCGTGTATTAACTTCTCACGGAGTGTGCAAGAGAGTGTTGCTCGTGGTTTTTGCAATGAACTTGCTCAAATGTGCCAAGTTTCTGGCATGGTAGTTTTCTGTCTTATTATCTTCTACACTTAAGATTCGCGTTCTAGTTTCTTTTCCATACATCTTTTATATTTCATAATGGAGTGTAACTTTATCCGCCATATCTGTTTCATAGGAATTCAATCCCGAGCCTGTTATTCCGATCTACAGCGCCAGGCCTGAGCAAGTGGAAAAAGCTTTGAAGCATGTCTATCATGCATCCATGAATAGAACTAAGGGAAAAGAACTAGAGCTTCTATTAGCTATACTGCCTGACAACAACGGCTCCCTTTATGGTATGTCATATCATGATCATTTTCTGTTCGAATTCTAAGATGCATACATTATCGGTGGCTTCTTAAACCGTCCCCCTTAAATGATCTCGAGATGGTAGTAGTGTACTGAATCATGACATCATTCTACTTTTTCAGGTGATCTCAAGCGAATTTGTGAAACTGATCTAGGACTAATATCACAATGCTGTCTGACAAAGCATGTCTTCAAGATCAGTAAACAATATCTAGCTAATGTGTCCCTTAAGATCAATGTTAAGGTTAAACAATTTCTCCCGGTTATACACTACATTAATTTAATTTGTTCCCCTAAATGATTTCATTTGAACTTTATACTAATATTACGATCACAATATGTGCTTTCTGAATCATTTTTTCACACTACATATATTCAATATCGCCTAGTAAATGACTGGCTCGTCATTGTTACAGATGGGTGGCAGAAACACGGTACTCTTGGATGCTATCAGCTGCAGAATACCATTAGTTAGTGATATACCAACCATAATATTTGGAGCCGATGTGACTCACCCTGAAAATGGAGAAGACTCGAGCCCCTCTATAGCAGCAGTATAATTCTTTTTCTCCTCGAACACGTATCTATCCTGGTGCTAATATTTACTATTTCTGAAATATATTGGTTCTTTAGGTAGTAGCTTCACAAGACTGGCCGGAAGTGACAAAATATGCCGGACTAGTTTGTGCTCAAGCTCATAGACAGGAACTCATACAGGACTTATACAAAACGTGGCAGGACCCTGTACGTGGCACTGTCAGTGGCGGCATGATCAGGTATGCTGATGTTGATTCCGTTGCACATGTACCTTTAGCCTCGAAGTTGCACGCATTTTCTAATTTTGGTTTTCTCGTGTAGGGATCTTCTCATATCTTTTAGGAAGGCAACCGGACAGAAACCACTGAGGATAATATTTTATAGGTTTGTGATGTAAAATATATTGGCAAATATTTATAACACGCCACTCATTCGACATTCAATCATGAGTTGCATCCGCTGCTCATGCATATGCATAAGTTGTAGGCCTTTCTCTTATACTAATTGGCTAATTATTTGAGCAGGGATGGTGTGAGCGAAGGACAATTTTATCAAGTTCTACTCTACGAGTTGGATGCTATCCGGAAGGTGCTGCATCGACATATTTTCTTTTAAGATCAGATTCAGTATATACAAATTTGGAACGTTTATGATTCTGATAATGAATTTATTGTAGGCCTGTGCTTCTCTAGAACCGAACTATCAACCACTGGTGACTTTCATCGTTGTACAAAAACGACACCACACTCGATTGTTTGCTAATAATCACAGGGACAGAAGTAGCACTGACAAGAGTGGAAACATTTTGCCTGGTAAAAGATTAGTTCTTGCACAATAAGATAATTGGGATACTCCGACTTTGGACGGACTGAACATCATTAATCATTCTAGCGATTGTGCATTTTGTATATTTTTTTCAGGCACCGTTGTTGATTCGAAAATCTGTCATCCAAAAGAATTCGACTTTTATCTTTGCAGCCATGCTGGTATTCAGGTCAAACATTATCCTATAAACTTTTTTTGATTTCTTAAGACTTTACTAGCACCAATGTTACTTTGCCATAAACTATCATCTCATTCCTCGTGTTAGCGTCGTTCGTAGCGTAAGTGTTCTACATTAACCTTTGGCAGGGAACAAGTCGTCCAGCACACTACCATGTTCTTTGGGACGAAAACAATTTTACCCCAGATGGAATTCAGTCTTTAACAAACAATCTCTGCTACACGTATGCAAGGTGCACACGCTCGGTCTCCGTCGGTGAGTTTTTCGTGTGTTATTAGCATACTTTTGGGACCAAACTTTTGTCATTCATTTGGACAATAATGGGGACGTTATAGCCAGTCGTTTGATTAGCTGGTTTGCGATTTCGTTTGCAGTTCCTCCTGCATATTATGCACATTTAGCTGCATTCCGAGCACGATTCTACATGGAACCAGAGATGCAAGACAATAGCTCAACGGGCGGTGGTACGAAGGTGGCAGGAGAATCCGGGGTGCGGCCGTTGCCGGCCTTGAAGGAGAACGTGAAGAGAGTAATGTTCTACTGTTAGAATGACAGTCAGCAATGGAAAGTGAGGTGGGAGATGCAGCAATCATGAACAGCTTTTCTTGTCAAAATTTTCCTGTGTACAGTTAACGGTTCGTGAATGGTTTAGGTCACCGGGGATTAGAAAGTTGGTCCGGTCCGTTAACCTTTAGTTCGGTTTTCCTAGATAAAGAGAAAGTAGAGAAAGGGATAATGGCACCGTTTCCCCCCTGTACTTTAATCAAACTTTCATTATCATCTTTCAACTTTAAAAATGTTCAATATGTTCCCTGTATTCTATTTTCGTCTTCTACTTTGCCCTTCAATTTAACGTCAATAAAATATTCATTAAAGAAATATATTCATGACAATGTCTTAGACATATGTTAATATATTCAACTATATTGAATCGGATTTGATGGATCGATGGAACTGAACCAAAAGCTTGACTAGTGCAATAGAACTCATGTAGAATAAGCCTTTGTAAACCGGTAAAAGTGAGGATCGAAACATAGATCGGTTAAAAATGGTTGAACCGGTTTTTTTTTTAATAATACATATATACCAAATCTTGGTTGAATAGGTTGTTAAATAGACAACCGTTAGTCTAATCGATTTAAACGTCAATCTTATTTTTTTTATAACATAATGAATTGTCCTTAAATTACAATAAAATCATATTTCTATACCTGAAAGATATGAAAGGATGTTCAAATAGACATGAAATACGCATATAGTGAAAATAAATAAATATATGAATCAATTTATCTCAGTAGTTAAAGGAGTAATTATTGTTCTTAGAGGACGTGAGTTCGAGCACGTGAAAATGATTAAACATTTATTCTTAAATAATTAAAAATATTTAGAATATATATTATTTTATAATTATCTTAGCTCAATAAATAAATAAAGATTGGGCCAAGCTTGATAATGTCCAGCAATGGTTCACCTGTATTCGGCTTCCTTCCCTGGGTCATAATTGCAATTATTGAAGTTTTCTGGTGAGATCTCATCTATTAATTTCTACATATTGTGTAATTTATCTATTTTTTTCGTAAATAATCCAAGTAATATTTATAAATAATAAATATTTTATATAAAAAATAAAAGTATTCACATTATAGATCTAATTAAGATCTGGTTTCAATTTTTTTCTTAAGTTTATGTTCATGTTCGACACGTCTTAATTATATTTTTTATTTTGAAGTAATGAATTAAAAATATAAACTTATATAAAATATTTATATAATTTTATAATAATATGAAGTGATTACTACTTAGTAGATAGTATGTGTTCAATTTTTTATATGCAGATACAACTGTTCAAATTCATATTTTTAAAAATAACAATATTTATATTATTAAGGTAGTTCAATAATCCAAAAAAAAGCTTTCTTTAGCTGCAATAATAATAATAATAATAAACAGGGATCATTCAATGGATATATTTTAATCCTACTAACTTCATTTTTTAAATTTAAAAATTATGGGCATTAACCAAACGATCTCAGTGTTAAAAAAATTGTTGTTATTCCTTGAATACTGGATTCGAACATCATGAATGCCAAGCGTATAAATTTCTAATGTCAAATGATTGAAAGTTATCTTTGAACAGATAATACCTTGTATTTATCTCAGATTAATAAGAAAAATTAAAAATCATAGACAAATCTTTATTAGTTTAAATATTTGTCAAAAAATATAATCTCTCAAATTTTAAAATTAAATATTTATCAAATCATTATTAACTAAATTTAGATAGTAATCTTTAATTATAATTTCGTTTCAACTATATTTTCAACACTAATTTGATGGTATATTTAGGCTTGTAAACGAACTCATCTATGAATCATTTGTGAATTGTTCGGCAGAAAGTTTTTTATGTTTATTTATTTATTAAAAAAACATGAACAATATTTTATATTTGTTTAATTAAATGCACGAACACGAACAAAAGACTCGTTCGTTCATTTATGTTCATGAACATTCGGTGATTTATATGTTTATGTTCATTTATATTCAGTCCAATCTCCAAGTCATTTAAAATATTAAGACCTAATAAATTTTAATCTAAACCTCATTAATATTTTGAAAGCAAAATAAAAAAAATACACAAATCAATTAAAGAAAATATAAATCTTAAAATTATTTCGAAAGAATTTTTTTTCATAAATACAAACTCAATTAATTTTATTTTCATTCATTTACGCTCATTCGTTTATGTTCGTTCGTTAAAAACACGAACAAAAAAATTTATTTGTTCAGTTAAAGTTAAACAAATAAACAAACATAAACATATATTTATCTTTGTTTATGTTCGTTCGATTTATTTACATGATTAGGTGTGTATTGTTGAGATAAAAACTGAAGTACTTCAATAACAGAACCTTTGGCTTTTCTTTTATTTTTGTCTGACCTCAAGAAATGTCAAGATGCCATAACATTTCATGTCTGAGGTCACCTATGTACCCCAAACGTGGGTAGAGAACAGACAGAGAGGAGAGAGAGAAATTTCAGATGCCCTTAATAATTATCTGACATTTCATGGGATGGCATATAATCATATATACACACATGATATCAGAATAATCACAAATTCACATAAGATATACACATACATGTACAAAGTAATTATGCACCATGTTAGGGAGCACTTTCCTTAACATTGTGCATTTTTAAAATTTTAAGAGATAAAATGAAATTATTATTAAAAATATAAAAAATTTAAAATATATGATAATTTAAAATTTTTATAGAGTAAATATTTTTTCGTATCTCACCCGGTCCATGTATTATCAATCCACGAGTTGCACACCCACTGGTATCATCTCTTGCTTTCCCTCCTGAGATTACCAACACACCCTTATTGGTGGAAAAAAAGTACGAAAATCAAAGGTAAATCCTAGTGGTAATACGATACTTTAAACATGATTATACCATAAAAATAAACACTAGCATGACATGACACGAAATACGAATACCAGATTAATTACATGTAGGGAGAGAAAAACCATCCTGGTGTAGAAAACTAACCTAGCTAGCTAGTCAGCTAGGGGCTGCAACAGCTTTGGGGGCCACTCTAGACAAAACGGGCAGCTAGCTCGCCCCTTTTCTTCTATCGATATTTCCCTATCAGAGAATGAAGTTGAACCATCTTTCAAGAATATGACAGTGATTAAATGATTCAAAATTAAAGATCCAGCTTTAAATGGAACGTAAACAATGAACCCTCACATGGTTTTTCTTCATGCATGATAGCTGACACATGAAAAATAGAACCTCTCTGGGAAAAGAGTTCAAAACCGATAACATTTGTGGGTATTTTGATGCTTATGGAAACACGAGAGCTACATGGAATCTTGTCTACATTAAAAAGAATAACCAAATTCTAACAAGTAGATGAAAAGAAAGCAACATCCAAGAGAGAGAGAGAGAGAGAGAGAGAGAGAGAGAGAGAGCTCTAAAATTGTACTCCTGCAGTAAGAGGTATACATACACTGATATCAAGAAGTAAAAGGTATACACATTACACACACTCATGCGTGAAGCAGATTTAACTAAGTTGTAAAAAAGAAAATATGCAGTGGAAATGGAATACTAGGTTGATTTCACGAGTTTTTAAGTTAAAATTCTTCACTTAACTTGTTGTTATAGTAAGATTTTCTATATCTCAAAGACAGTTGCTTCCAATATGGCAAAAGTTCAGCAAACACAAGAATTTACGAACATGCTGATCTTAAATATATATGAATATGTTATACACATACATACACACACATATACCGCTGTAGCTGGCTAGAACTTGATTAAAATGGGATTTCTTTCAATTTTACAGCAGATTTGACAAATCAGATAGATAAAATAGCACAACTAATTTTAATGTCATTATTTTGAGACTGGCATTGATGATGGATAACAAAGAATAACAACTGATACCCAAAATAATGACATTAAAATTAATTGTGTTGTAGCTGCTATTTTACTCTCTGATTTGGCAAATCTGCTGTAAATTTGAAAGAAACTCCACTTCCAGAAACAAGCCCTAACCAGCTACACTAATACAGTAGAGTGCAATTCAAAAATTATTAGTAGAAGACTGAAGGGAGGAAAAAGAAGAGAATCCCAAGAACAAGCAGATCTTAAAACAAATTTGGGGACTTGAAAAATTGAGCAACAAACAGCTATGAAATAATCCAGATATTTATGTCAGAATATATTATAAGCAGAAAACCGTATAGAATATTTACAGATTATACCTGGGAGGCCCAATCACCAAATCAGTACTAAAGAGATCTTGAAATCATCGAAACTGCAGCATTTTCCTGTGGAAAAGTTTCAAAAAAACCTCTGCAAAAAATGAAAAATCTATAGCAAAATTAGATAAGCTTAGATTTTCGACATGAAAAGCTTTTCTAGGGATTGAAAGAAAACAAGAAGGGTGGGGTAAAAAAGAGAAAGGATATGGAATTAGGGTTTCGTCTTGAGAGAAATTAGGGTTTTTTTTCTTTGATTTGTGCAAGCAGCAACAGGTGAAACTGCCACATGATCTGAGTTTTCCTTTATAAAGCAGAGGGAAATTAAGATCATGCTGGCAGCTTCATCTGATAGTGGAGCACCATAAGAGAATACGTAAGCTCTCCCCCTCAAGCTTCAACAAAGCGCCCGGACAAACCAAGTAAAACGGAAAGGGAGAGGAGGGCACAACATCATGAAACTATAACTGTACTCCAAAGAAGAGCATATATATATATATACTTATAGCAATAGCTGTAGAAGTGCTAGAGCTAGAGACTCCAAGTGGAGAAGAAAGGATAAAGAGGTGGCTTAAATAGAAGAAGGAGGAGCTTTTATTTTATTTTGATAATAAACCGAATATAAATTAAAGAAAATTAGACCGGTTCCCTTCGTTTTAACTGTTATTCTTGTTGTTACTTGTTACTATAACTTGGACGATATAAATTCTTGTAAATCTAAACATATAAATTTTAAATAAATGTAATTTAAAATATAATTTTTAAAATACTTTAAGATGATTACGAGATGTTGTTTGTTAAAAAAAATTAATTTATTAACATTGTACATACATATCTTGTTAATATAACCGCGAACGTACCACAATATAAGTGAGAGGGGTTTATAATTGTTTTAATGGTCTAATTCATTTTAAGTCAATGGTAATTTTGAAATCATTGCAATTAAGCCATTGTCCCTCTCCAGTTTTTTTGATATAATTGTTTTTAGGTCATTGTCAAATTCTAAAATTAATAGAATTAAGCCTCGATCCTAAATTTATTTGGTTCGATTATTTTTTAAAAATCTTTGAAATTTAAAATTAATAAAATTAAACTCTTAACTTCTTAATTTTTATGGTTTAATTACTTTTTATAATACTATTTACTATAAAATTAAACAACTTGTCCCTCTCATAGTTCAATTCTGAATACAACAACTCGAACTGAAACCTCTAAAAAAAGATAATACTCTTTTTTATCAATGAAATCACTTGGTGAATATATTACAATATTATTGTATTACTATATATTTGAATTATTTTCCAACATAATTGAGAGGTAGAATTAAGAAAAGACAAAATAGAAGAGGTGGGGTGGGGGAGAGTGGTCCCTCAAGTGATGCAAATTGAATATTGTCACGCCATGCAGAATTGCAGAGAGAGGTTAAATAAGTGGCTGTTTTTTGTATATATACATTTGTTGTGTGATAGAGAGAGCAATAAATAACTTTCTTTTAGGGTTTGGGGACAGTGACAGTGGGGCTGTTGGGGGGACCTAATTTTGAACCACTTTCTCTCTTTGTAGCTGTGAGAAGGAAGGATCAGCCAGATAAGAGTGTAACCGCTACTACTACTACTATCCATGGGGACCAGATAAGATTTCAATACATTTGTATCTAGGCCTGTAAATGAACTGAACGTTCAGCGAACCGTTCGTGAACCGTGCGGCGGGAAGTTCGTTTATGTGCGTTTATTTATTAAATGAACGAACATGAACAAGATTTTGTGTTCGTTTAATTAAATGAACGAACATGAACATAGGTCTCGTTCGTTCATTTACGTTCGTGAACGTTCGGTTATGTTCGTTCGGTTATGTTCGTTTATGTTTGTTCGGTTATGTTCATTTATGTTCATTCATTTATGTTTAACCCAATCTTTTTAAATCAATTTTGGTGACCAATTTGTAAGTATCTTAAAAATATTAATTAATCTGATATTCTGATGACCAACTCCATAATTAAGCCAATTTTATTTGGAGATTAAATTCAATATGTTAACCCGTGAGGCACCTCGCACCTATATTCATTTCCCCCCTTTTTTCCCCAAACTCTAGTGTTCACTGGAGAGTGTAGACGATTGCTGAAAGCTTCAAAACAAGTTATATTATAGTGCAATCTGAAGTTTTACAGGTATATTTTCATCTATTTCTCTGTTTTATTTGACTTAATAGTTGATATATAAAGTTATTGCGGGTATCTTCACATCTAAAACTCAAGAAAACATCATAATTCTTTCTAGAAATAGATAGGAAGATAAAGGTAACAATCGGAAATATATGAACATCAGCAAAGAGAAAAATATATAGAATTTGCTAGAAAACAAAACAAAAGTTTCTATGCAATTTCTAAAAAGAGTGTAATAGCGGAAGTAATGGGTTTTCTAGGAAGAACCCATTAATAAGTAGAAAATACACTTTAACAATGAACTTTTGTTTTCATAGTTCTTGTGTGACCTTTAGTTGCGGAGTAGACTTTAGGTACGTTAAAATTTTGAATGGTGGTTTAGCAATAATATCAGTTACGATATGTAGCATCGAAGGGATTTCAGATCTATGTTATTGCCTTGTAGTCCAATTTGTACCGTTCGAAATCTTCATGCTGTTAAATTTTCTACTCTGCCAACGGAAATGACCATTATTAACAAACCTCCCTAACGTCTGATATTGATGTCACAAAACTTTTAGCCGATGAATTTATTAGAATAAAGTAGTGGAAAATGATTGTTCATATATAATCATGGACCACTAAGATAAATGTTATAGCGTTAGATTAAAGTCATGTGAATCATTTAATATCTTTAAAAGATCGATCGAAATATTTGATATCTTCAAACATTTCATTACTGCTAATCAGCTCTTACGCTATTTATCACTGTAGATTTGGTTGATTTGCATTGTCGACTATCTTTCATGAAAGAACAATGGAAGGTAGGGTCTCCAACGTTTATGTTCGTGTTCATTTATGTTCGTGTTCGTTTATGTTCGTGGTCGTTTATGTTCGTTTATTTATTAAATGAACGAACATGAACAAGTTATATTCCTTAATAAACGAACATGAACAAAAAAAAATTTGTTCGTTTATGTTCGTGTTCGTTTATGTTCGTTTATTTATTAAATGAACGAACATGAACATACCTCCGTTCGTGTGCGTTCGGTTCGTTTACAGGCCTATTTGTATCCTTTTATTCAATATTGTTATTTTTCGATAGTTCGGATGATTATAAAGATAATATCTATTTAGAATATTTTATAATCCACATAAATGCAACTGTTCACACTCAATACATTAAAAGTTCTTTAACCACCAAAATCACGTGATAGATTCTTGTTCAAAATTAAATCAAAAGAAAGATCATCCATCTTTACTATAACCTAAGAAACTGTAACTGGACTTATTTGTAACCACATAATATTAAATTCTAGTTCTATTAGTATGATTATTATCGTAATATTTATGCGAAAAGTATGATAAAATATGTTTGACATTATATTCTTCTTTGATTGAATGAATTCGAGGTCTAAATAATTTATAAATATTGTCTAGAAAATCATTGAATGAGTTCAATTCGATTGAACTCAATTTTGGGTTCGAAAAGTTTAAAATTTAACTCTATCCACTCTAATATGAGTACGTGTAGTTCACAAAAATAATATATTCAAGCCCTGTAAATAGAAATTTGTACGTTTGCGGCTCATAAATTTACTTTGTGATTACGTGAAAGTGCATGTAATCAAATATCCCTACAAGCATCTTCCTTTTGATTGATGTGTTGGGTTTAATGAGTAGAAAAATAAAGCTAAGTTGGTTTGCCAAATTAATCTTGTTTAGCTGCAACAATTTGTTAGTATATAAATGAGGTTGTTGAAGAATTAAACCGAATTAAAAAGTTACTTCAATTGGTTTACTCCATGGTGTTCAACGAAACTAAATTGGGATAAATCCAAAAGACTACAACTATCATCTACTTGTGTATTTAACCCTCATGCCTTTCGGTATCAACAACCTTTATCTTTACTAGGTAAAAAAAAGAAGATAAAATATATAAATGAACACTAAAATATGTTTAAATGAATTTTTTGGTCACTTAAGTTTCATAAGTTGTAAAATGATCTTTTAACTTATTGAACCATTTTATAATAGTTTAATAAGATTTTATTATCATTTTGTAACTATATAGAAGTTTAACTATTGTTTTGTAATCTCTAAAACTTAAGTGGCCAAAATATCATTTTTAACATAATTTAATGACCATTTGTATACTTTACCCGAAAGAGAACTCTCTATTGCAACTATAGGGCAACTATAGGTGTCACACAGTCTAGTATTTTAAAAGATCAATGAGGTTCCTAAGAGTGAATTTGGAGAGAGTAAAAGTTGTCCCTCAATACGAGACAAGACAAATTTGTACGAGACAAGATAAAAACTACCGCTATGTTTGCAAGTAAAAAATAACATATTAAACAAAGAAAAACAAAATGCCTAGATCTGCAAAACAAATCATAAATTTTAAAAATAAAAATGTAAAACAGAGGTCCTTGATGACCAAATCATTTGTTAGTGTCGATCAGATCGGTATGAACAACGGGTGAGTGTGATTTCAAAGTATATATATAAAAAAAGGGTCAAATTGATAGAAGTTTAAAACATTAAAAGTCAAACTGTAATTAAAATACGACGACTCGAATAAACACATATAACAAAATGTTTGGTGGCATAACTTTCGTAAACTCATCTATGGGAATCGCCCTCTATGATCCTCTGGTTAATGAAACACAAACGAAACTAGTAATCAGCCATCAAGCAGCTCAAACTCGGTTGTATGCAACAGATTTGCTGAAGAGATGGCGGATATACATAACTTGGAGTGCACTAACTAGAGTTAGCAGAATGTACTCTCCAACTGCGTATCCTATAACTCGCTTTCTTGTGCTCTCATTCGCTGCCATCCAGATAGTATACAACTATTAGCAAGAGTTTCCCGAAACGGTATATAATACCTAAACTATACGGGAATGTGAAATTTTCTCGGTCCATCCCTGCCCGGAGTTATAACTTCGTCTGACACATATTTGGTTATGAAGTATACTCCATGTCAGACACATTCATAACTCTGAGCCCAGGAAAAGTAAAGCTATTATTATTCTGCCTAAATAACATTTAGGTAGCAAACTAAAAATCAATATATGAAGAATAATGTTTTATCGACTCAAGGAAAAAGTAGCAAAAGGAGGAAACCGTAGCAACTTACTATTACGATGCCGAGTATCGCGTGCCTTCAAGTACTTTTGTTCTGCCGTGACAGATTCCAAAGCCTCTCTCAACTCAGCAATTTTAACACTAATTGGGTTCAAATGTTCTGTAATAAAGAGAACCAAAGAAAAATTATCAAATATAAAGGAAAACAACAACAATATGCGACTTACACCTACAAACAGGAAAGAAAAATATAACAAACCATCTTTGGCAAGATTGTGCTCGTTGGGAATATGACCGATGTGAATATAGAAAGAAACAGTCTCCGGTGTAGAGTGGGGATTGTGAAAACAAAATTTGTACATTCCGTTTCGAGGAGCCTTGAATTCAAACTTGTCCCCGGATGTCCCCTTCAAACTGTGAACAGTATTACCCCCAGGAGATGTCACCTGCATTAAGCAAGGGATTAGATAGATAATAGCATTCTTCAAGGAAAATCAAAACCAATAATTATAAAAAGACTCCTTACTAGATTACTATATATAGACATGGCAATCCGTGTATGTATATGATGTGCGTGTAAGTTTCCATGTCATGATCATAATTAGGGTATAATAAGTCGTATATATCAAAATATCTATTGAATATCGACCTATCGATCTAATACCGACTTAAGCCTAAAGTTAAACAGAAACAGATCCCACAGATCAAATCAATTCAATTAAAAAATGCATGGATCTACAAAATAAACCCCTTTCCACCTCTAATACCAAACAACCATTGGCCATAGATCAAAAGTTTCCCATTTCAAAACCACCCAGAAACATTCAGGAAGAAATGGTTCCATCAAAGGATCACACATCTCTAAATATCATCAAAAACTAAATCTTTACTCAATTGAATTAAACATAAAGAATTAGAAAATATCATTAAAAATCAACCTTCGGTGAATGGAAGTCAACACCCAATCTTTAAATATTTGAGAAATAGCACATGAAGAACTGACCTATATGTAAATAAATTCAATACGCAACTACCAAATTACCCAAAATTCACCCGAAAAAATGACATTAAGCTTATAGATCGGATAATAAACTTACAGTGAAATCGATGCCAGGGTGGTCAGCTCCCCAGAAAATGTCGTGGTCAACGACAACAAAGTTGCCGGAAATCGTGTCTCCTTCGTAAATCACATATTCGTACACGCATTCGACGTCGGTTACGGTCACCGAAAGTGATGCAACGTTACACACCGAATTCAAAAGAAGCAAACCCATCAAAGCCCACGTCTTTCCCCATATCATCTCCATTTTTTAGGGTTCAGATTTGGGGATTTTTTTTCTTCTCTCGATTTGATTTTGTATCAGTAACAGTTAAATCAGTCAAAACTATGGGGGGTTTGATTTAGAGCTTCTCCGACTGCGTCAGTTTATCACTGCATTTTATTACCCGAATGACTGGTGTTTTACACGACGTCGTTTCGTATCATAATCTATTACAAGAAATCTAAATTGAAAAACTACTTTATTATCTGAATTTAAAATAACTAAATTTTAGGTAAAGTATATAAATATCCCAGTTATATGGATGAATTTTTCGACACTAAAAATTATAAAATAATTTTGATTATAAGATGTTGTTTTATTGAATATCTTACTATTAAAATTTATAAAATGATCACTTATTATTCATATATTTTAAATTTGATATTTTTTATTAATTTTATAATCATCTCACATTATTTAAATATTAAGATAAAAAATTGAAAAAAAAATTGCAAATGGGGTGGTCAATCAACGTTTAAAGTGGTCCTAAAATGGTTGGTGATTGCAGAAAATTAACTAATGCTAAGAAAATTCAAAGAAAAAGGTTGGCAAGGGAATACATCAATATTATATGATATATGATATTCAAGTTGTAAAGTAGCATCTTCAACCAAGCTCAGGATCCGTTGAAAATGGAGAAGGAAACCCAAGTTCAGGTTCCAAGGGTGAAGCTGGGAACTCAAGGATTGGAGGTAAGCTTCAACGGGTATTCTTTTCTTCTATTATATATACTAAGAATTAGGAACTGCGTTATTGTATTAGAAAGTATATGAAATAAATCACATTTTTTGTTGAAGAATCAAACCCCTAATTCATTCACCATAATCGTTTATTATCTCAGATTGTTTTGAATTCTCAGTCCTGCAATTATTTGACAGTTTGAAGGCTTTGCCAGAGTAAGTGATGCAGATATTTGGATTCTATTTAAATCACTAAATTTGTTAGATACGATAGCATGAACCCAATTGAGATAAGTTTTGAGTTCGTTTCGAGTTCATTTGAATTCTGTTTAGTTTCTGGAAACAAGGGTAGGCAAGGAATGATTTTCCGGACAAGAAGATGTGGATTAATTGATGATTAAATCACCACTTCTATGTTATCTAGACTCGAGTTAGTGTCAGATACAGATATGTAGATCGGTATAAATTTGTTTGAAAATGTGTCCATCGAATACAAATACTCGAGAGAAATTACGAATCCAGTAACATAGCCTGTACATATCTCTATTTCCAGGTCTCTAAACTGGGGTTTGGTTGCGCATCCCTCTCCGGGTTGTACAATGCTCCTATCTCTCATGAAGAAGGGTGTTTGGTTATAAAGGAGGCTTTTTATAGAGGCATCACATTCTTTGACACATCCGATCTTTATGGAAATGAGCCTCATGATAACGAGATCTTGGTTGGGAAGGTATGTAAGTCTCGATGCGATGTTACGATCGTTATGTTTGATTTCATCCTTATCGTGTGTCGATGTTTCTTTTCGAAGCTCATCTGCATTCATGAACACATGTTGATACATGTACATATATGTATTTCCCATTTCTCAGGCTTTGAAGCAGCTTCGGCGGGATAAAGTGCAATTAGCAACAAAGTTTGGGATCTTTAGGAAAGAAGGATTTAACTTTGGGGTGAAAGGGACCCCTGAATACGTGCGGAAATGCTGTGAAACTAGCCTCGAACGACTCGGTGTGGACTATATCGATCTTTACTACCAGCATCGTGTAGATACTTCAGTCCCGATAGAAGAAACCGTAAGCATATATCATCTAAAAGACCACTTCTTTTGTTAATGACTTTTGTTCAATGCATCAAACATTTTGAAATGGGACAGATGGGGGAGCTCAAGAAGCTTGTGGAAGAGGGAAAGATCAAATACATTGGTCTATCTGAACCTAGTGTTGACACCCTTAGAAGAGATCATGCTGTTCATCCTATATCGGCCTTGGAAATGGAGTATTCCCTCTGGTCTCGTGAGATCGAAGAGGATATAATTCCGGTCTGCAGGTTTGTTAGCATTTGGCTATGATGTTATGTTCAGTACTCAAACTTTTCATATTCGATACTCAATCCCGGGTCCATCTTTCTCAGAGAGATTGTTATTGGGATAGTAGCATATAGTCCACTCGGTCGAGGTTTCTTTGGTGGGAAAGCAGCTGTGGAGAGCTTGCCTACTCAAAGTCTTCTTGTACTTCAAATCCATAAGAGTTCCTTTTTCATAAAAAACTATGCTTCTTACATATTTTATCTTTCTAATCACAGAAATTCCATCCAAGATTCACAGGGGATAATTTGGAGAAGAACAAACTCGTATACGCCCGTATCGAAACCTTGGCGAAAAAGCATGGATGCAGCCCTCCTCAGTTAGCTCTGGCATGTCTACTACATCAAGGTGAAGACATCATTCCGATCCCAGGTAAGTTCGGTAAACCTATGTTAGTTGAATTCAAGTGCGGTGATGGATACGGGTTTCGAATCGTGTTTTTACAGCTACAACTAAGATTAAAAACCTTGAAAGCAACATTGGATCATTGACTGTGAAGCTGAGACAAGATGATTTGAAAGAAATCTGTGATGCTGTGCCAGTTGATGAAGTTGGTGGCGGCAGAGAGTGTGATGTTTTTGCTGATTATTGCTATAAGGTGGCAAATACACCCAACAAGTGATTGTAAAAGGAAGCACCATTGCCAATATTGAAGCCCTCTCTGCATGTGTCTGGTTTTCCTCTGTGCTTGGTCTTTTTCTTAATAACGGTAGCAGAATCAGTTGTTCGAAATCGAATTTACTCAATTGTCCGAAAATCGAATTGAGCTCTTTAATTAATAATAAAATCTAAATTCTTCTTTAATTTTATATATCAAACTGATACTTATTAGTATTAGGATAAAATATAAAAATAATCACTCAATTATAAGATAAAAAAATGGTTGTCCCTTGTTCACATATGTAATGGGGTAGGGGGAGGTAAGATAGTAGGCTGTCTCCAACACCAAGTTGAGAACAACTTCCGTAGAAGATCTCCGAATTATGAAATGCCCTCCGTATAAAATACTTTTTATTAAATCTTTCAATTATGAAAAGTAATAAAATTATCACTTAAAAATTTAATAAAAAATGACGAAATTAATATAATTGATATAGTAACATACTTAATCTTTAACTTTCTATACTTTATTTTAATTTGATCTTAATTAAAAAAAAACTCAATATTTTGATATCTACCCATTCAGTCCCTAAATAAACTTCATCTCTTATTGTAAAAAAAAAATAATTGAAAAAAATAATAAACGTCCACCACCACAACCACTCCGAGGCTATTAGCCACCATCTTCTCCAACTTTTTTTAATAGTTGCTGCTCACAGAAGCTACTCTTACCCATTTTAATTGTTGGATGGGAGATGAAGTTTTTTTAGAGATTAAAATAAACTATTAAAATATATTATAATTAAATTTAAAATAAAATAAAATATAAAGATAAAGATTATATATATTATTCTAATATTTTATCAGAAAATTAGTTACTTTTCGAGAAAACGTAATAAGGGTCTAGGATGTTCCGCCAAGAATCCAGAAGCGGCCACGTTTACGGTTCATGCAAAGACACCACAAACGGCCTTCACTTTTTGCCTTCTAACTAAACAAACCCCAGTGTTGTGGTAATAAAATAGTCCACGTCACCAACGTCCACCATGTGTGGACAACTGTCTCACGTGACTCAATAACTTTTTAGAATTAGATACAAAGCTACGTGGATCCATAAATATCCACCACCCTCTTCTCCCAACCTAGTCTATTTAACCCAACGCTGCTGTACTGCATCAACCCACCATCATTCAAAGCATTGTCTCCTGCGTTTTCTCCATTAAAGCTTCATTTAAATACTTGCCAGCACTCTCTTGGGTTCTTTCTTTGTTCCAGAAACTGTATACTTTGAAGGAAATGGCCGCTTCAAGTGTCATGCAAATGCAATTCATCCATCTGGCAAGCCCCATGACAAGCCTTGCTAACAGGAGTCGAATGATTCCGTTACACAACGTTAAACCCACTCCTCGTTTTCATAGGAATGCCAGTCTTCAGGTTCGCTGCATGGCGGAGGTAAGCCGTGTTTACTAAAACTAGTTTTAGGGTTTGGGTTTGTTGCAGGAAGCTTATGTGTTTACTTTCACTAGTTTTAGGGTTCATAGATTAAAATTTGGGGTTTGTTGCAGGAAGATGAAAAGAAGGTGCAAATACCTGAGCTGAAGCGGAACCCAATCCCTGCTCCGAATGCAAGCACCAAATTCTCCGATGTGTTCGCGTTCAGTGGTCCTGCACCGGAGAGGATCAACGGTAGGTTGGCGATGGTTGGGTTTGTTGCGGCGTTGGCGGTGGAGTTATCCAAGGGTCAAGATCTGTTTACACAGATATCGGACGGTGGGGTCCCATTGTTCGTTGGAACAAGCATCCTTTTCGCTGTTGCATCTTTGGTTCCTATGTTTCAAGGCGTAACGGCCGAGTCGAAATCTGGCGATATCATGAGTTCGGATGCCGAGTTGTGGAACGGTAGATTTGCTATGCTGGGACTTGTTGCCTTGGCACTCACCGAATATGTCAAGGATGGAACCCTAGTGTAATTTTTCTCTAGTCTTTGTTCTTAAAGTGGCATATATAATCTCAGTAGCCTTGTAATTTCGTAAAATATAAATATATTCAAGTTCCTATTCCGTTAAAGCAAGAAGCTTTAGAATAACGAAATTAAGCTAATACAAGTCATTTTCTTAAGCTAAAAAAAATAAATCTATTCACAGTGATGGATCCACCATTTGTTTAGGTGGACACGTATCTATTTTAATTGTTGCTGAAATGGAATGCATACAAGATTATCACACATGTAACTTCAATAAAAGATATACCTAAGCAATCCGCCGCCGTGCATATGTCAAAATTACATTTAATATTTCTAGGACAATTCTCAGGAAGTCGGTATAACTTTGCAACTCTGCAGACTGCAACGAGAGAAATAAATATTATTTTAGGATACACGAATTTTTTTTTTACAAAGGACTATATCACATGCCAAAATGAGGACAGTTACCATTTCTTCCACAAGGCCGTCCACTGTTGAGATGGTTTTGGTTTGCAATTTATCATCCCTAGTCTCTACGTATTTGTTGTACCTAAATTCCCAACACATTTACATTAACAGTTAGGAAAACAGTGCTGACATAAAATATCTATGAATCATTGTTACTCCCAACGCAAGTATGTTCAATTTTTCCAAGTTTCCCCATGCATTTGGAGGGGTCCCAATAACCATGTCCAAATAAGCATCAAGACGAGTTTAGAGTTGAAGACTGATACTTTCAAGCAAAATGAAGAGTCGTTCAACATAGGAAACATTCATCAAAGAATCAATGAAGTGCTATGGTAAAAAAAAGTGGTCTAAATATAAATGACTTGCTTGCGTGAAAGCATATAGAAGAGGCTGACTAGTCTCTGAGGTGCCATATTTGCCAACGTTGCAAGACAAGTAGTATGAAGATAGACATCCTGTTCATTCATAAAAGAAAAAAAGAACCAACTCCAAATTAACACTTTATTAACAGATATAGAACCCATGCAATCAAATATTACAGTCCTAAATCTGGAAACTAACATATGAAGAGTGAAATCCAGCCACTCAACAATGTTGTCCTGGAGTGTGCTTCACTATACATAACATAATCCAGTAAGAATTTATTATACTTTGAGCCATACCCGCAACTTTGACAAGTTATACCGGACGGTCCTTATCAAAATTATGACCATCAGGGAACCAAGAGATGTCTGATGAAGGAGATGATCTTTGTACCATGAAACACCAGGCAGCATCTGTCCATACAAATAAGATATCAAGCCAACACTCATTTATCAAAGTCCAAATCTGACAAACAAAAGAGATGCTTAACATCTTATGAATGCTTGCATTGAATGAAGAATCTTGACCAAGTATGAGGAGTATAATCAGCAACATGTATATTTGATTTGATGTCCTCCTCGAAGCACTGTATAATGTTTCCAAGATGGGCATCAACTGTTGATATTCATCATACAAACAAAGATTAAAACCATATGTGACATCATATAAACAAGCTTAGGTGTTTATGCCATATACATACTGAAGAGTTACAATGAACGACTAAAAACAAATTAATAGAAAAAATCAAACAAAATCTGATGCAATGTGTGATTTGAATGCATGATATAAATTAGAAAATGTTCAAGCTATTTTTTCTTTTTGTGGAAAAGGGGGCAGGCAGGACAGAGACAAATTTTAATATGTCAACAAGAAACTAGCCACGATTCATACCTTGTAACAAATAAGTGGAAAGTAGTTTTGCAAATGGAACTGCTCAGGGTTATATATGAAATGTAGATAGTGTAAGTTAGAGCTTCTTACCAATGTATCCAAATCAGTTCGCACCAGTACATACTCCAAAAAGTCAGAGTTCCCTTGCAGCAATGAGTAAAGTAAAAAGACACCAGTCTCATCAGCCAAGCACCTGCAGATAGGAACCATTATGAATTACCAAACAAAAAAGAAGAAGGAGCCAAGAGAGATGAAATATTGATTCCAAATATAGTAACAAATTGCGAAGCATTTATGTCGATCAAAGTTTTAAAGCTATGCTGAGGATAGAGGCACCATATAATAGAAGTCTGCGCTTAAGTCAATTTATTTCTAAAACAATTTTAAACAAAAGAGAAACAGGAAAAAGAAAGTCAACAGCAATTACCAAGGAATAGAACCCATTCTTGGCAAAATGTTAGCAAAAATTAACAGTAATAAAGAAGCAATCATACAAACGTCTTTGCCGGAGATGGCCATTATGAATACAAAGGAAAAAGAGAAAAGGAAAGCCTTAATAATCTCATAATGGTCATTTTACTCATTCACATAGTGCCAATAGAACAGAAAGATACTTACATGCCAAGGGTATCAAATAGGGATGCAAAAGGTAATCTCACAACTGGTCCATTTTGTGAATTTCCCTCAATATCGGCACGATCTGTCACAACCCAATATTTTAAAATAAAAATTTTAGAATTAATTAAAATAATATAGGGATCAAATTGAAAGTTTTCAAAACTTGTAGCTTATTTTAGAAGTTGCAGAAAGTTTAGGGACTTAACCTTGAATTTTCCCTTTTTTTGTCCGTAGGAAAAAATACATTTTAGCTGCTACGAGGATTCGAACCCAATTAAGGTCGCTCATGCCCTAATTGTTTAGGCTAGGGTACTATTGGTGATATATTAAGTGAATATATATATATATATTAGGTTAAAACTCGGATAATATACCTAATCCCCAAATCAAACCCCTAAACCCTTAGCCCGTCGACCCTTCCATCGACGAATACGTCACTGCCCAACCACCGTTCATCCCACCTCCAGCCTTGTTCGACTTTTCGTCGACCGACGAGCAAAACCCAACCATCATCATATTGTGATTCGTCGTCAATTAGCGCGAATCGACGTTTGAAGCTTCGCCGTCTCCAGCCCTCGAAGCTTGGATTCTCCTTGATTTCCGTCGATCCGGCCGACCGTTTAGCACATCGCTTGTACCACTAAACCCGTCGTCATCGTAAGCTTAAGACCCGACCGAAATCGTCACACCGCCGTTGCTCCGCCGTTGTCACTCACCGATCACCGTTGAAAAAGTTCAAACATTTTAAAATTCCACATTCTGTCATGTTTCGTCGAAAATAACACATGCACGAGACTCTGGAGGTGTCGATCTAGAAGACTGGAAAATTTCACGTTGAACCGACGACCGGAGTCACCGCACGTGTCGCACGCCCTGCGTGTGGGCGTCGACTGTCATCCAAGGGGTATATTGACCTGTTGAACCGGTCTGAATCAGTTGGACTGGTTTGACCCGGTTGGGTCGATTTGGATTGAGTCATTCAAGTCGAGCCAAACCACTGATCGATCCGCCAAGTCGAGCCATTGACCAAGCGTTGACAGAACATTGACTGTTGACTGACCGTTGATCGGTTGTTGACTTTTTCTGGGAGCACCTATCCTGATGGTTTTTGATGTCCTGAGTTTGGTTTTTAGGTTCATTTCGCCAAATTCGATCACAATAAGCTTTTTTTCACTGATTAACCTCCCAACTCGATACACTTTTCGGAATTAAGCTCCATTTTTATGTATTTTTTGTTGATATGTATTTGAGATATTATTAGACTTTGGATTCAAGTTTGAAAGCAATCAAATAAAGTTTAAATGTTTGATTGGCGTAGCTTGAAAATCGAGATAATATTTTACTACCCTATGCATACTTTACGGTACATGTTGGTTTTGCTAAGTGCATGGATGAATATGTTTCATCTCATCTGTATAGTTCATTATTTCTAAACTCGATTCGAGTACGGAAAAAAATAAGTAACTGAATAAAACTCTGATGACTCATATAAGAAATTAGAAGATTTATAAGGAACAATTCCAAGTTCCGTGATTAACCAGAGAAACGTTTAACCTCGTAACCCTTAAAATTTGATTACTCTTGTTAAAAATTGAAACACCGAAAATAACTAGATGAGAAATTACAGTATTACCCTTGAAAGGGAAAAATAATATGAATCAACCCTGATTGAGAAAATACTATGAAAATTTGTATCTAATTCGATAAATTATTGATTTAACTGTCAAGTTCCTATTTGTTTGATAGATTTCAGATAAATAGTTCGTAACCTCTGAGAAGACACTAGATTCAGAATTTTTTATTTATGAGCATTTATCTGAAGACTAACTTATCGAAAGTACCTTTATTTTCAAAATTGTTCGAAGTGACTGAAATAAATAAAAAAATTGAATTAAATGGAAAGAATGGACGAAATGAAAGGAATGAAATACACCTGAAGTGTGAAATGACAAAAAATACCCTTGAAGTGTGAAATGACCTAAAATACCCCATAGCCCTAGAATGACTAAATACCTATAAGCTCTGGAATGAATAAATCTACCTCAAATACCAGAATGATCTAAATACCCTCATGACTTGGATTAAGAAAATGTCTTTGGATAACTTCTGAAGATACCGATGAAGCTTTAAATGATGTAACGCCCTTGAAGTTTATAAAGTATGACCTAAGTAAGTTGATTATCCCTAATATTGTTATAATACGAGAAATATTTAAATATTGCTTAAATACTTGTACGTATCCTCATGATTCGTCCAAAGATGGTTTTTAAGGTGATCAGTTCGATTCTACAGTGCAATCAGTTTTAAGAAATGAATATCCGTGATAAGTATCTCTTTTGTTGGGATTTGTACAATGTGATTGGAATTGGAAACCTGTTAAGATGCTTGAATTCTGTAATTCTATAAAATCGTTGCATACCCTTATTAAACTGATTTATCAAATTTCTTAGGAATCAAATAACTAAAATACCCTTATAAGTCTGATTGATGGAATCACTTTAGGAATGTCTAAATCTTAAATAAATTTTGATGCAATAATTCTTGTATACCTTGCTGATATATCTTAATACTATAATCTTGATAAATCACTTCTTCAATGATTGATTAATCTGTTAGCTATCAAACCTCTTTTAATAGGGATTTCATTTCTAAAATTTATCAAATTACAAAAAGTTTCGTGGTTCCCTACCTGATAAATACCAAGTAAATTCGGGGAATAATTGGATCCTCTAGTGTGTTCCCTATATGCTATATGATTATTTTATTTTCCTTGAAATGTGATTTACTAAAGTTGTTGTTTTACTGAATCTTTTAACTGTTCGATATTCTATTTACTTATGTATTGATTTATTGTTTATGAACTATGGCTACCTAATATGTGCTCCTTGGTTACCTATTTTCACTAGAAATGTAACAGCCCAAACTACGGGTTAGTGACTAAATTGTAAAATTTCAGAATTTGGGGATAAAAGTAGAATAGTTGAATAGTTTAATGATTTATGTGGAGATATTTCCTGAAAGTTGTTAGTAATTATTAAAAGAATGAAAGGAAAAAATGGTCATTTGACTTGGAAATTATAAAAAATGATATATATGTCGGTAGGGTAAAAATGGGGAGATATTTTCTCCACTTCATTTTCTTCATGTACGAGAGAAAGAGAAAGCCAAGCTTGCAAAGGTAAGTTTTCTAATTAGTTGATTATTTGTTGATTTAAATGTTGGGTTTTGATCATTATATGATAACTAAGCTTAAGGAAAGCTTAAGTTATCTTAAAATCAAAAGATGAAGAAGTTATGAAAGATTAAAGAAAATGGGGTTTTAAGTGAATTTTTGGAAAAGAGTTGATAAGTTGAATTTAAAACTAAATTTGACTTGTCATCAACTTAATTAAGAGATATAAAGTGATAGAATTGGATGTAGAACATCTTAAAAATTTGGTATGATTATTGATTTCTATATGAAAGATGGAATTTTGAGATTAAAGATGAGATAAATGGATATAAATGAGTTTAAGCATGTGTATGTGAGTTAAGGATATAAAAGGGGTTAAAATATGGAACAATTAAATTAGAAGGAAGTAATTTACGTGTATAAATGGGAATTCTGGACTAGTGTGCATCGATACACATTCAACATGTACCAATGCATCAAGGGTAAATTTCAAGAAATTATTCAGTGTCTATCGATGCACACAGGTAGACATCGATGTATAGGAAATATATGTGAAAAGATATGATATATATATATATGTTTATGTGATTACATGCAAAAGTGATTTGAACTATGTGACGTATAAATATGAAATGAATACGTGGCAATGGGATATGAAAATATACGAGAAAATCATATGATATAAGATCAATAATTACACGTACATATGGTACGTGACAGAAGAGAAGAAAATATGTGATCATATGAAATATGATAAAGAGTTATGAGAAATAATGATGTGACATGAATGTGTGAATATGTAAAGTGATAAATATAAAAATAATGCCCATGTTATGTGATATGAGAGCTAGGGGTATAGTTGACATGCCAAGGGTTTACGGTTACCTATGTTCTTCAGGACATATGAACTGTTTACATATGTTCTTTGGGACATATGGACTGTTTACCTATGTTCTTCGGGACATATGGACTGTTTACCTATGTTCTTCGGGACATATGAACTGTTTACCTATGTTCTTCGGAACATATGGACTGATTACCTAGATTCTTCAGGATCTATGGACTGGTCCTTCGAGACAAATTTCATATGCCACGCAGTAGGACTTATACGAGCTGTGGTGACAGCATAAGTGCACAACCTCAATGTACTCGAATACCTTAAGTTCTCAGTAATATACATAGGCTTATAAAAGGTTATCAAAGGTAATTACATAATTATACAATGTTATGTGGGTTTCTTTGTGATATGATAAATGCGTTATATAATATACAAAAATGATAATTACAAGATCATATGATAAATAGAGATTACGATAATGATGGTACATGTGCATGTATGCATTTTGATATATGAAATGTTTTATGGTTTTATTATATGTTTATATGCCTCACTAAGTCATAGACTTAGCGTGTGATTGTTTCATACGTAGGTTCCAAGAAGAGGAAGAATGATAAAAACTAAGCAAGACAGATCAATTCTCCTTTACAAAGATCAAATCAGAAAAGTATTAAATAATATGTATTTTGTAATAATGATAGTGGTTGACATGTAATAAAGATTTGAATACGATATGCTCTAATTGGTTTGTAAAATCATATGAATGAGTTTTGTAATGTTTTAAACGTGTATATGTAAATGGTAATTTTAATGCAAATGAAAACTTAGATTTTTATGAATTTATATGTATTTTGCCTGAAGTTATTGTAGTAGTACTATAGCAGTGCATCGATGCACAATTTATATTCGAAATTTTCACTGTTCACGGTAATGTTCACGGTACTGTTCATACCATATAGTATTGTTCATAAATATGTATTTTTTTTTTCAAATTTTTATAATGAAGCATAATTTAATATAATATTAATGTTCGGGTCGGATACGGGTTGGGGTGTTACATTTAATGGTATCAG